ATAATTAGATGCATGTGCTGAAGTGTGTGAATGGCTTTGACCCAAACCAACTCAGAAGTCTTTCGCATCACAGTCACTTCTGGTTAGCAGGGAATTATGGGTATTCTGCATTGCGGTGGCGCTTGATGCTCTGCTCAAGGTCTCTGCTATGTGAACGTTTTTATGGTGTTGTTTTAGGCCCTGTCCACATGAACACGGAGTATTTTCAGAACCGCACTTTTGTTTCTACACAGTTTTGCTGTTTGTCGACATGAACACGAAATATTAGGTGAGTGAAACCGGAGATTTTTCGAAAACTCTGGGTACTAAGGGTGTCACGATCTTCCAAATCTTCGGTTCGATTACATTTTCGATTCTAAAGTCACGGTACGATTCGATTTTGGATTTAAAAAAGAAAAATTAAACAAAATAATAAACAAATCATACAGTAAATGAATAAGTTACACACATAATTACCACCTGTCAATCACTTTTTCCGCGGGACTCATGAATAGGCAGTGATCTGTGTCGTTATAATGGCGTCGGTAAAAAAGGTGCACAACCAACAGGAACCAGCCAACAGTATCTGAGGTGTTCGCTAAAATTACCAAGTACAAGTGTGAAAGTGAAAGATTAAAGCAGTCTGCTGACCGGCTGATTTTTTGATCGATAATCGAAATTGAGCATGAATTTCGATCGATTTCAATTTAAAATTTAAATCGTGACACCCTTACTAGGTACAGTGTGGTCGTGTGGACACCACAATTGAAGTTTTCACCTTATGACATCCTTTCTTTTGTCCTTTCTGATTGGTTAACACGGCTGGGTTCCCACCAAGAAAATTCCGCAAGTTCGCTGCAAATGTATCGCGTATTCCACATCGTTCGCACCTCGGGATGGTAATCTGCCTCTGTTCTCACGTTTGCATTGAATTGTATGGAATTTACTCACAAACATACTTAACTCACCGTTTGGTGTGAACCCAGCATATATGACATGCCTGGTGCATTAGAGAGGAAATAGTGCATCTTACAGGTGGTTTGTCAAACCCACTCACTAACCACGCTGAGGGCTATACAACCACGCGAAGGTTGTGCCGATGCATACATATGCGCTAGACGCAGAAGTATAAATCAGCCTTAGATGTGAGAGATGTGGTGGGGCAGAAAGGACTTTAGCACATTTATTTTGGCTTTGTCCTGTTCTTCATGAGTTTTGGTTCCAACATTTGTTTTTTTATATATTGATTTTTTAGGGGCTTTCACCTTTTATTGGGATAGGATAGCGGAGGACAGACAGGAAAGCATTGAGAGCAGAGAGAGGGGAAGGATGGGAAAAGGACCTCAGTCTGGGAATCGAACTGGGGTCGCCGTGAGCACCATGGTGCTATATGTTGAAGCACTTAACCACTAGGCTATTGGAGCCAACATATTTACATTGTTTTCCAGTGTTTATGATAGAGGTGTGAACCTATACTAGTCTCATGGTTCGGTTCGGTTACGTTTATCATGCCATCGATTCGGTTCAATTCGACATCTAGGTGCATTGACAATGCTTTCCATACACAGTGTTGTATTTTGGGGGGAGGCTATAACAAGCTGTCAGTATAAACACACACACACACACGGGGACACACAGCACCACACTGTCTCTCATTCACACACATACACAAACATAGATAGCACCAAACAAACACACACACGCACGCGCATGCACACGCACAAACAAACCACGCATGCTTGCTTTCTCGCTCAATTGGGAGCAATATTGTGAGACCGCCCGCTCCTATTAAAATTACACCAGTTACCGACTGCTCCGGCGCTTTATTCAGAAATGTATTCCCGTGCCGCATGAAATCTGGTTGGGTCCAACGATAATGCACATGTACAGCCGCGGGAATGCATACAGCCGAGAGGAAAAGAGAGGGGAGGAAAAGTCACGCCAGCAGGTGAAATGGGCCACAGTGAGAGAGAGAGAAAAATTGAGTACTTTCATTTCCTCAATCGCAGAGAAATAGGGGCTTCTGCTGTAATTGTCAGTAAAAGACTGTACAGAAATCACACACACGCAGTGAAATTGTGCACAGTTGGCGCCAAGAGTGTTGTAAATACCCGCGCTCACCTCCCTTGCGACAGAGCGCATTTGAGGTAAATGACGTCAGTAAATAATGACCGGTTATAATTATTACTGAACCGATACCGAATTGTCCGCGTCTGCATCGCGGTACACCGAAGGAACTATTAATTTTGACACCCCAAGTTTATGGAACTATTATTTGGTATATAAAAAACTATATATTTGGCTATTTTGGGATATTCTAATATAATGAACATCTTTCCGTTAGCCCAGGGATGTCAAAGTCAGTTCCTCGAGGGCCACAGCCCTGCACAGTTTAGTCCCAACCCTGCTTTAAAACACTTACCTGTATGTTTCAAACAAGCCTGAAGGACTCCATTAGTTTGATCAGGTTTGTTTGATTAGGGTTGGAACTAAACTGTGCAGAGCTGCGGCCCTCCAGGAACTGACTTTGACACCTGTGCCTTAACCCAACAGTAAGACCTGGTGGTTGGCATGATTACAGCTAAAAAGATCATCTTTGGTATTTTGAAATCTCCAAAGGCTCCCTGTTATCAGCGATGGCTAAATGAGTTGCTTTATGTCATTCAAGTGGAACAACTACATCTTAAAACTTCAAAAAAGCTGTAACCACATGGGGACCTATCTTAAGACTCTCGGGAATCTAGCATTTTAGGTTCACCTTTATTTCTAACCTATATATTGTAGTCACTGGCTTTGTAAAAATGCGAGTGTTGTTGTCTTGTCTATACGTTTACTACTATATATGCTATATGTTGAATAGATATTGACACATATTGTCAATTATTCTGTACTGTTTTTTCTTCTCTTTATTCATTTTCTTTTCGGCTTAGTCCCTTTATTAATCAGGGGTCGCCACAGTGGAATCAACCACCAACTTATCCAGCATATATTTACACAGCGGATGTCCTTACAGCCGCAACCCATCCCTGGGAAACACCCATACACTCTTGCATTCACACACATACATACGACCAATTTAGTTTATTCAATTCACCTGTACCGCATGTCTTTGGACTGTGGGGGAAACTGGAGCACCCAGAGGTGCAAGAACATGGGGAGAACAGGCAAACTCCACACAGAAACGCCAACTGACCCAGCCGGTGCTCGAACCAGCGACCTTTTTGCTGTGAGGCAATCGTGCTACCCACTGTGCCACCTTGACACCTTTCTTGTGACTAAATATCTTATAAATGTTATATTAAATATTATTAAAAAAAACACGCCATGGTGATATATTGTGCAGGTCTGAGTGTACAGGTAGGCGAGTGGGCTTGACAAACCACTTGTAATATCTAATTTTCCCCTCTTCTGGACCATTTTGATGGATGTAAACTATGGCATTGGTCTTAATGTATTTTCTGTATTACATTTTGAATTTCCAGAGCTTTCAAGAATCCAAAAAGGTCCACATATTAATAAATTATGTCATGGCAGCCATTTTTACATCAAGATATAATTAAATTGTCTTTTTTTACGGTTATGAAATAATTTGGTAACAAGCAGGAAATGTTTATGGGTTAGTGACATGGCCACATTGAATTGATCTATACACCAGGAAATTTCTATAGCTAAATTTTTCATATCTAAAGATTTAAGTATTTTTTATTTAGTGTTATTTTCTACAGCTGTAACTTTCTATTACTATAATTTTCTGTGTTTTTACTTTGTATTATACCCCGTAATTTACATTCTTATTAATGTTATTTGTGTTTTTAAGGTCACAGATGTTTGTATAAGCATTTCATTGCATATCGTAGTGATTATTTGACAAAAATTGTAATGTAAAATGGCAAAACTTCCATAATTAAGTACAGATGTATCTGGAGATAAAAGTGTTAAGTAAAACAGATGCATGACATCTGATGATTTACTTTCCATCACTATTTCTAATTATGAATTTCATATCCGCTACTTTATGACTCGATCAACAACGAAAATATGGGAACGAAAAGCAGTCTGAATGAGAATACAATTACAGATAAATATCAATTCCCAGGATCAATTTTAAAAACATACTGCTATATTTTCTGCTAAACACAGAAAAGAAAAAACAGCAACAACAAAATTCAAATTCAAATGAACAACCACAAAAATCCAACCTACAGAAAAGTATTTGCTTATGTAAATTAACTGTTGACGTTTCAGTGGAATAATAATAAAATGGGAGTCAACTTTTCCAATGCTGCATTGTATCTCTTTTAAAACAATAATAGTAATAGCTAGTGTATTAAACATTCATGCCTGTACTGCTAATTAAAGTAATTGAGTAATGATAATTTTGTGTTAAAGACTCAACGATGATGTTAATAACAGTATTTATTAATAATGCAGCTTCACAGAAAAGCAAACAAGTCAAAAATGTGTGATGGGCTAATAAAACAGCGAGTCTTCACAATAAATATGAAAGGACATCAGTATGATATCTTAAGTGTTTGTTTTTTTAGAAACTAATGCTTTGGCAGATGTAAACATTTTAAGTTGAGACGGTTTGCCGGTTTCGATCATGTGGAATCAATAAACACCGAGTGTCTGTTTGGTCAGGGATGTAGATGTTGCCTTTACAAACATTTACCATGGTAACAGTTTCTGACAAAAGTTAGACTACTACTGTTTTTACATATAACTCCGTAAAATAAAAACATATCGATATATAATGAAAAACATACCATGTTGTGCTAACATTTTAAGGACAAGTCACTTTCTTTAAAGTGTTGCCAAAACAACATAACAAAACGGCTGACGATGCTTGAATGGGGTCTCGTGTGGCTACATTTACTTAGGCTAACGTTACCCCTCGCTGTATTGTACAGTAAATTACCACACCTCGAAGTAGCCTAAATAAAGTTTAATAAAGGAAACAAGTCTATATATTGGATCCACAGTGTTTAGTTCGCGTGAGAAACGAGTCACCGATCGCTTACCTCGGATCCAGTCCACAACCTGAGCCGCTGTCCACTTTGTTATGGGCTCCATTCTTCTCCTCAAATGTCCAGAAAAGTTTCTAGCAAATTCTCAAAGCAAGTGAAGTGAAATAAAGTTCCCCGGAGCGCGATTTCTCATGTCTAACAACTTTTAAACACTAATGAGCAGATCAGAGAAACAGCGCTGAAGCTCAACCCACAGACCGAAACTAAACACACACGTAAAGTTACAGAGAGAGAGAGAGAGAGAGAGAGAGAGAGAGAGAGAGAGACCGCGGGGAGGATCATGTTACATTCACGGGTCAAATTTATATCGCCGCTAAATCGTCGAGTAGTTTGTATGGTCAGGGTCAAACCCTCTCTAAACTTCAGAACATTCATTCATTTTCCTTCTGCTTAGTCCTTTCTTCATCAGGGGGCGCCACGGCGGAATGAACCGTCAACTTATCCAGCATATGTTTTACACAGCAGATGCCCTCCAGTACTGGGAACATCCATACACACTTAAACTACGGCCAATTTTGTTTACCCAATTTACCACATGTCTGTGCGGGAAACCGGAACACCCTCGAAGCAGCGACCTTCCAGCTGTGAGGTGACAGAGCAAACCACTGAGCCAGCGTGTCGATGACATTCAGAACATTTAAAGTCAAGTTAATGAAAAGTCTGTCATTTTCTGAAAATGCAGTATTTATCCTGCATACACTGTTAGACTGGATTGTTGTAACGTTGGGTCAAATATAACCTGGCTACTGTGCTAAAATATTTGTTTACATTTAATAAAATTAATAAATAACCCAACAGATTTGACGTATATATATAGGTGCTTTTCTGCTCCCTTTATTAGTTATTTGATTTGAAACAGTAAGTACATATAATGGACTATAGGGTCTAATATCCTTCAGTCTACAAATGCAAATGTTTTACTTTCTGTTGTTTTTGTTGTAGAAACCAGGGTACATATTTTACATGGTTAATTTTAATCTTAAGTTTAACATAATTTATAAGCACGTAAATTATTTGAATGAAACCTTAAACAATATATATATATATATATATATATATATATATATATATATATATATATATATATATATATATATATATATATTAATATTCGATATCATAATTATAAAACTGATTAAATAAATAGCTAATAATAATATGGACATAATAAAAATACAGTATTTCGTTGATATTCGTTGTATTTCATTTATATATAAATACAATTCTTGCAACAGATTGTTTAAAATATATAATTATATTTAAAATATTATTGTTTTTGATTTGCATGTTATCTTGGTTTTGTTCACATTATACATTTTATTTTTATATTACGAAACAAAATACTATTTAAAAGTTTAAGAAGAACGTTAATTTGATGTTATTGTGTTTGTTTATAAAATTCATTAAAGGGAACACAAATGAAGATATTTTGAAAAAAGTTGTAGGAAACACAAATAGGCTATATGGACGTCCATTACAAGTTTCCAAACATATTGTCACCTTAATTATAAGGTTTTATTTGATATTTTTGTCATAATTGAGTTATTGGCATATTCTTATTAAATGACAACTTACATTACGTAAAGTTGTTTACATTTTAAGACTTTTTTAATTTAAAAAAATGTTACACACATACTGTTTGCTATGAAATGCAAACATTTTAAAGTTCAATATCTCAAAATCGTTCAGAAAGCAGTCAGAACCTTATAATTTGTTAAAATTTCTCCTTTTGTGTTAAACAGAAGAAACTCTGGTTTGAAACGCAATAACGGTGAGTATGGAACTTTAATTTTTTTTAAGTGAACTATCTCTTCAAAACTGATTTATCAAATTTTGTTGTGGTATTTGTGTATACCTTAATGTGATTAATGAGCTATCATACGCCGCCCTCTATTGGCCAGATTTTATGAGTGCAGTTAGAGAGCTGACTAACTTTTAATGTCAGTACATTTATTCACCATATTTTAGTACTAGTAAAAACATAATTTATGTGATTACCATTTATTTAGCGTTGTAATAAACTCACTTTTAGTATTATGATTGGATCCAGAAACCAAAATTAGACACTGAAAACTAGCAATGTGCTTTAATAAAACATATGGCTTGTGTTCATTTGGAAAACACAAAAGTAATACAAATGCAACAAAAACATCTTATAATCAATTCAAAACATTTTGATTTGTATCAACATAAAAAACTGAGTGTCCTCAACCGTCAACAGAGGTATTTTTGGCCCATGTAACAAAAAAAAAAAAAAAAAACATGCAAAGAATTTAAAAGACGATAGTTGCTGTTATTGCAGGACACAGGCGTTAGTGCAGGTCACTCCATCCATCAGCTGAGTCTCCAGAATGGCCGTCATCCAAAGCCGCTGCTCCGCCGCGTTGGCGGCCCGCAGGAGGTACACGCGTTTCCCGTCTTTAGGTGTGATGCTCCAGCAGTAGCTCCCGTCACCATCATGCACCTCCATCCTCGCTCCAGCTAAATCAATCACCTTTTCCGCAGACTAAAGGGAAAGGATGCAGAGAAAAAAATTGTCTATAAGAAAACGGATGAAGGTATTTTAAAACCAGTGGAAAGTTTTGAAAGTAATTCATTACAATATTGAGTTACTCCCCGAAAAAAAAGTTGCGTTAACGTTATAGGCTAGTTGCTTTTTATAGAAAGTAATGCATTACGTTACTTTTGGGTTCCTTTTTCATACCTGCCTAAATCTTTCTTTTAAAAGGCTTAATCTCTTTCAGAATGTGCAGGGTATTTTTCTTTCTTTCTTTCTTTCTTTCAACTTGAGCTCTGAATTTAAGGACAAACGTAAAACATTTATTAACCTTTTATTTAAAAAAAACCCTTACCTTCCGATAACTTCCTGACATACATGCCGCATATGCAGATTAATGAAAGTTGAAAATGTGTTTGCAAGCTTTGTATTTTTGTCTCATTAGTTCACTGAAATAGAGCTCATTTTCGCATTGAGTGATTCAACGTGATTACACTCATTTTAATTCAGCAAACTATTTTTAAAAGCGTATTCATCTAAAAAGAAACTCGAGTTACATTTTTAAAAGTATTCAAATAATATTACTTAATTTTTTAATGAGTTACTTGTTATCTACAAAAGTAGTATTATTACGTTACGTTACCTAGCGTTACTTGATTAAATACCCCCAAATATGTGTGGTCATGCAACACTGCAAAGTAATGGTCTTTTGTGCTAGAGAAGAGGCAGTTCTAGCATTTTTGGCTGTAAATATCTTTAAACATCCATTCACAGAGAATGTACATGTTAACATTCAAAAAACAAGCAAAACAGACCACAGACCACGTTAAAAAATGTCTGGATTCCGTATTTTGATAATTTGTATATAATTCCCAGATAATAACAAATAATTCCCTTTATTTCTAATGGGAATGCATCTTTACAGCGCCACAGGAATTTAGGACACATGAGCCAGATCTACAATCTGACAAAGGAATTTTGTAAAACTGTTTGAGAAATGAACAACGTATCAGTTTTGACGTAGCCCTGTTTTATTCATTCATTTCTTTTCGTATTAGTTCCTGTATTAATCATGGGTCGCAACAGTGGAATGAACCGCCAATTTATGTTTTACACAGCGGATGCCCTTCCAGCTGCAAACCATCACTGGGTAACATCCATACACACTCACTACGGAATTTAGCCTACCCAATTCACCTGTACCACATGTCTTTAGACTGTGGGGAAACTGCACATGAGGAACCCCACGCAAACACGGGGAGAACATGCAAACTCCACATAGAAACGCCAACTGACCCAACCGAGGCTCAAACCAGCGACCTTCTTGCGATCGTGCTATTTTATACATATATATATATATATATATATTTTTTTTATTGTTTTTAGTTTGTCTTTGTTTATTTTGGGGAATTTGTTTGGTTATGTTTGTATTATTGTTAAAAAGAGTTATAATATGTACCTAGATTCACTTTTACCCTCATAAGAGCATCTTCAAAAGGCGTTGCCATGGTACCAGTACAACAACAATAACAGCAGCACGGCCAGTGGAAACTCAACCCAGTGACATTTAACGATACTTATTAAATATTAAACGAGCAAAACAGTTTGTGTAGTAGACTGAGTTAGAGAGCAGGTGTGCTGAAGTTAATGTTCATACATAATCTGATCGCTGTTATAAGTTTTTTAAGAGCCTAACATGGACAGCGAGGATTACTGTATCATTCACTCTTACCTCCTCGTTTAAACCATAAATGAGTTTTCCATCTTTGAGATGAAACCACGACATCTTCCAGCGCCTGGTGTAGTGGGTTTTCTTGAATAACCATCCTTTACACTCTTCTGGGTGGTTTTCGTCGGTTTTACCGTTAGAGGTCGCCGATTCTAAATCCATTGCTCCAAGATGATTCTCAAACACGCGCATGCGCAAGACAAAACAAAAGTCTTTTTAAGTGGCGAAATGTAAAATTAAATAATAATGACTGATACATATATAATTTTCATACATAAATAAAATATTGTGCTTATTGTTTATAAAGCGTTATTTTGAGAACTTACAAATGTAAATTAAATGAGCAAACGAATAAATAAGTTAAAATGTGACGATAAATGTTTTTTAGTTATGTTCGATCTGCTCAAATATTAAACCAACAATATATAATCAAGTATCTCTACTAAATATCTTTTTAAAAATAGGGTTTTCGTTTGTCGGAATTAATTTAGACAGTTTAATGAACAAATCTCTACATTTATGGATTAGTTTGTTCAGTCAAAAAATAAATTCAAAATGATAAATCCTTTCACAGTTTAACTTTTAATAATCCCTTTTACGAAGCGGATTATTAAGATGTTGGAAAAATATGTTGCTCAAAGTTAATGATAACAATGTAATCTTATTCTAATTTAAATGTATTCGTTAAATGCTTATATTTTATTTGTCTTTTATAAAGCGAAAAAGCATCATCCTTTTCACATACATATTTTTTAAAGTTACATTTTAATCGAACAAAGAGTAATTTTGGGGTGTGTACAAAACAAAAGACTTTTGTGTACGTCAGCGCTTGGTGCCCAGCTGTTAAGGAAATGGCGGCCGCAGCAATGGCAGGGGCTGCCGATCCTCCGCATCTGACGGAGGCTAAAAAGCTGGAGTATTTCTCCTCCATAAACTCGATGGCTCGTAAGATTATGCAGGAGAGGGAAAAGATAAAGGAGACGTACGGTTCGGCTTGGAGTCAGATGAGTCCGGTTGAGCAGGACACGGCGATAGACAACGGTATGATGGATCCGCGGATCCGGGCTCGGTACGCTATGCACCGGGTGGACCGAGACGAGGTGATCTGCTACCCGAAACTGCTCATCCAGACCGGACAAAAGATCGTACACTTCGGAGAAGAGGTGCTTGTGTTTTGTATTGTCATAAGTATTGTAGGAGACTAAGCTCTTACACTCAATGTATGTGAAATAAGTTATTTAAAATTAGGCAAAACAACATAATTCAATATAATTAAATATAAAAGAGATGTTTGGAGCGACAACTTAATTGTTTTATATTTTAATTCTTTTAACCAGCATTGTTTACAGTGTAAGATTCAGTATCTGTAGTAAACTGCATTATGAAAAATTAAAAGCTAATATTTTAAACAGTGTGAATTATTAATGCACAATTTACTTAATATTTCTTCATAATTCGTGACGTTAATTTATTTTATCTTTTGTACCATTCTTGCAAGAGCCAGAAGTGCGAGGGTCTAAATTATGTAGTTATTCATTTGTGTCAACTTAATTTGATCACTTAAAAGGATGGTTCTCCCAAAAACTAAAATGCACTCAGTTTTTTTTCCCCTCTGTTGGACCCAAAATAAGATATTTCGAAGAAAGCTGGAATCATTTACTCGCACAGTAGGAAAAACAAATTCTATAGAAGTCGATGGTTACAGGTTTTCGACTTTCTTAAAAATATCCTTTTTTTGTGTTGAACAGAAGAAAAGAAACTAATAAAGGTTTGAAACAAGTTAACGAGTTTGTATTTGACAGAATTTAAAATTAAGTTAAGCTTTAGTCTCATAATTGTATACTGTTTACTAATCAAATATCTGTATACTTGGCTAAACTCTCAAGTTTGTCTTTAACGTATATATGTGAAATGTTTGTCCATTAACTTGTTTGCTTAACAAATTTGTAAAACATCTATATATTTAACTGTTTACCTAACAAACATATGCCCTAATATACATAAAATGACTCTGATATATTATTTCTAGCCCATTTAACTATAAACTTTTATAAATGCATCTAAGCATTAATAAATAAAGGGTTTTAAAAAATAAAATACAAGTGTCAACTAATGTCACAAGAAGGCTTTTAAAAGTAAACATCATATAAATATCCAAGTAAATATATTAAAACTATAATAAATCACTAAATTTAAATGCTTTCCAAACTAGCCTGCAGCATTCATCTGCTGTTTATTAAACAAATCTGACGTGCATATAAATAATGTATAAGATTTCATTTTTAAATTTTACATTTAGATTTAGTTAAAATGCCACATTTTAAAAGTTAAACTATTTAATTAAGAGTTTTTAAATGCTTACCTTACAGATCACATATAATTCAAATGTTTATTTAGTTCTGTACCAAATATGAATAGATTAAACAGTTTAGTAAATACATAAATTTAAATAAATTATTACATCAATCAATGATTTAAATGTGTCACATGATCTTTAAGTAATTAATCTAATTTACTGACTCAAACATGTTTCTAAAATAATATTCAAGAAATAGATGTAAGTGTCAGATAAACTGGTTTCTGTAAATATTTACTAATAAATTGTCACTTATTAAATAATGAATCTAAATTATTCTAATTATATTTCATAATAAATTAGTACAATGATAAATTATTGATTAGATTTTGTGATAAGCGTACATAATTGTTTTAATAATTACGTAAGTATTTGCTTTGCCATTCAGAGCAGAATCAGAAATTACATGACTGATGTCATCTTCTGTTAACATCTGTCGTCTCTGTTTTTTTTTTTCTTTAAGGATTTAACTTGGCAAGATGAGCACTCAGCACCCTTCTCTTGGGAGACTAAAGTAAGTAGGCCACCTTTGCTAAAAATACACCACCAATTCACCAGCAAAACGCAAAACAAATGTGATTCAGCCTATGTATGGGAAATATAACTGACAAAAGTCTTATCGCCAATCAACAATTAATGACTTCTAGTTGATCATTTGGTATCAGAAGTGGCTTATATGAAAGGCAAAGGCCCCTAGATTACGCTTATTTTACAAAAATATGACCATGCCTTGATTTTTAATTATTTAATTAGGACAGTAAGGTCTGACTGTGCTTAGACTAAAGTCTTGTCACTGAACAGAAATAATGTCCAGTATAGAATATAAAGTCCTGCTGCAGTGGAGACAGAATGAATATTGTGTCTGACTCCATCATGAGCTTGGAGGACTGCATCCACACATCTCTGCAATGATGATGATAACTTATTAATAAAGTCATCTGGAATGGCAAAACGTTCTTGCAGGACTCCCATTGCTAGGTGATAACAAGCTGAAAAAAGTACGTTGCTGATACAAGTTTTATTTATGGAGAAAAGTACAAAGCACTGCAGTGTATGTGTGTTCTGTCAAAGGAAAAAAAAAATCTTACCGAAATGTGAATATTCCATACAAGCTAAAGCTGATTGGTCAATTCTTGTCACGTGTCTTGCGGTGCGTTCGTGGCCTGGGGTTCATTGGTGCGAGCGCGTCACACCACTTGTGCGCGCAAACAGCGCACCTCCATTGGAAACAACAAACTTGTGCAAACTATAGAAACACGCAATATGCGAACGGCCCCTAAAAGGCTGCTGTCATTTATGATCTCTACAGTTGATCTAGACATGCTGGATGCAGATTGGGCCAGGATGCCGGGGTTAAACCCCTACTCTCTTTCGAAGGACATCCTGGGATTTTTAACTACCACAGAGAGTCGGGACCCCGGTTTAACATCTCATCCGAAAGACGGCGCTCACTGAGTAGTATTGACCTTATTCTCTGCGGACGAGCGGGCGCTGCCATTTGAATCTTTTTGGCATGAGACTTCCGGTCTCATTCACTTCCATTCATTTTTAGACATTAAAAACTGCTCGCTTCGCTGTTTGATGTTGCAAACTGATATTTCCTTGTTATATTATTCTACTTGGTCTGTATAGTCATGCAAACATTTGTTTGTAGAGGAAGTAGTTTGACCGTTTTTTGCCGTTTATTATTCCTTGTCATTTCTCCCATAGGCGACTGAAACGGAAGTTCTAAGACAATTGCGAAAACAGGCGCACTTCCGCATTTTAGAATAAGGACAATAGAGTTCTATTGACCCATTAACACCACTTCCGGCAACAACCTAGCGTTCCCATGTAGTCTCCCATTCAGGTACTGACTTAGCTTCAGTGGGCGACCATGTGAGAGTTGCAGAGAGCTAGCTGCCGGCTACTCAGCCTTTTCCCCTTGGCAAAGAATCTGTTTCTTACTCATGTTGCTGCTTTTGGGTTAAATTTGGGTGCTAAAGTGACCGAGACGTAAGCGAGAGAGGTCATTTTTCAAAATAAAAGACTTTTCAAATAAAAAAAGTCTTCGATAAAAGATCGTTCAGACTCAAATAATAATAAAATGTAAATAAGTAATGATTTCTTGTGCAGCCTAGTACCAATTGATCAACGGAACGGTGGTTGAGAACCACTGATCTAGGGGATAAAATGAGCTAGGGCAAGATTATTATTCTCTATTATTCGACCACCCACAAAGCTCGCTGAGGCTCCCTTGTGGGCCGGGACTCCCTTGTTGGGAACTGCTGACCTAAATGTAATTACTGCCAGGCTGCTCTTACCATAAAACATATTTTGTTTGAATGTGGAAGTTTGAATACCATTAATCAGTTCTCTGCTCTTATTTCTGTTGAGCATGTGAAAACAATGGTCAATCAGTGTGTTTTTTTTTTAATTGGGAATTCAAATGCTAGCCGGAAAATGGACGTTTTAAAAATTTCATTACCGGTTGATAAAATCTTTTTTTTCCCACTTTGAAATGTAGATATTTGGACTAGAAATAAGACACCAATTCTAAAAATTATACTGGACTTTTGGTTTCAGTCACTATTGAAAATTTAAAAACATGCTAAACAGCATTTAAATATTAGCGGAAAATTAATGTTTTTAAAATTTCAGTAGTAACTGATACCGAAATTCTAGTATCGTGACAACACTAAACCCGTCTCTAACCAAGCCTTTCAATTCCTAACAGAGTCAGATGGACTTCAGTATCTCCAATATGACCGAACCATTCGTTCCTCCCTCGGTGAATGAGCCCAAACCCAAAACATCTCAGACCACCAAGCTTCCCAGCAATGACGAGTCCTCCTTCTGGAAGATCAGCGCTGAACGCTCAAGACTCGATAACGAGAAGGCAGAATTTCCCTCTCTGACGCCCAGTCAGATCAAGTCATTGGAGAAAGGAGAGAAGCCATTGCCTTCGTACCTGAGGTTAGAGTCTGGGTCGAGGGATATGGAGGAAGTTCCTGTTTCGAGGCCAGCCAAACAGAGAGCCCCAAAACCTCCAGCGCCACCTCCGCCACCCCCCGTTCCCATCAGCATGACCCCTGCGGCCATAAGTGTGACTCCAACTCCTCCGGCTATAGTGCCTTCGTTGGAGGAAGGCTGGGAAAGAGCCCAAAGCACGCTGCCTTCAGTAAGCAGCACCACGGATGAGGTGTTCAGCCCAGGTCTGGTCACGAGGTCTTCCTCTCAATCCAACAGCACAGTTAAAGATGTGGAAAAGGCAGAAGCTTCACCCGCTTCCAGTCCAACCTTCTCACAGGTATTCCATGTTCACTATATATACTTTGATCAAGACAAATGCTGCATCCCAATTCAAAACAGTATATGCTTTGAGTGGCTAACAGAAGAGTACGTAAACTTTGGGACTTACTACTTCTTCATTTATGGACTGTTATGTTGCTTCGTTACTTGCCATGTCAATCGTTTTGTCAAATAATCTACTTCTTATTCGATTTTCTAGCATATTGGAGAAGCAGCAGTAGGTTAAAGTATGCGAGAACCAAAAGTTGCGGACACTACTCTTGGGAAGATATCGAGAACTACCTGATCTCGTATCCCTCCTAATGCTTATTGACCAGGCGGGAACCTTGGGCTCATCTATCTCTGAGCTCAGAGTTCTCTCCTGGGACAGCATGTCAAACCTGCTAAAAAAGTCAAGCATTACCTAAGTGTAAAATCTTGAAACTAATTTCGAGAGGATCACGTGTTTGTGATTGTCCACAGCTGGTCCTGCATTAGCTAACATATGATTTACCAATTAGACTATTCCTAATGCCGAGTTCCGACTGCATGATTTTGAAAGTAGTCGTGTCACAGATGTTTTCACACTGCATGACTATCTGGGCTAGCGTTTCGTCGCTGCTTTGTTTACACTGCAAGATGGATCGGCGACAGGGGCTTTCACATTGCATGACTTTACTATAGGAAGAATCGCCGACAACTTTGTCCAAACTACGTCTCACAGCCAAAAACACGTCGTATATCTTTTGTTATTAACTACATGATGAGAAAGAAGCCTTTAATGGGGTGGAAAATGTACATGTTTGCTCACCTGGGTTTAAAGGGAATTAGCCATTTCTCCTCAACGTTGATAATAAACTAATTTCTTTCTGTATGAAAGATCTGCATTTCGAATTTCTACAGGACATAGTAGACCATCCGGGTAACTATGGAGTACTCATTTCAACACTATGATTTGAGACATGCTAGTTCTATTTTCGAATACTATTTAGGGCGCATATTATGCGAATTGGGATGCAGCAAGACAGTTAGACATGGGTAGATCAACCAGAAGTAGGACTGTATACTTGAATTTTCTGGCTGAATGGGTCTTTTTTGTACAACCTGGCAAAATAAAAGTTTAAATTCACTTTGTTAGATTGATGTTGATGCCTTGTGGGCAGTCATTTAACGCCATTGCAAATTGCGCATCCTGAGTTTAAGTCCTTTCCCAATCCCATCCCCTACTCTCTCCAACTTCACTTTCTGAATACATAGTGTCCTATCAGAATTAGGGCTGAAACACAAAATACGTTGTTAGATTGAGGGTGGATCTCAGTCAGCTGCCTTGTTCACTAGTCAGGGCACTGACCGGGGAGCCATTTTAAGTTCTTCCAGTACACTGAAAAATTTGCTCCCTGAAAAGTCCCACAATGCTCTCTATGCCATCTTAAATGACAGTGTATAGTAGTCAACATTTAAAGTGGACCAACAAAGTTTTTCCAAATTGACCCAAGCCAATAATGGGTGTTGTTCGATTGTTTTAGGACAACTTAATGAAAGATTTGGATCTACTTCAAATGTTGACTACTGCAATCTTCAGCAGGCTTCATCATCTTGTAATTTGTTTTGGAGTGACAACTCAAAAATATGACTTTGTTTTTCCTCTCGATCTCATAATAACAACAGTAATATCAAACCATGCTTAACATTAAACCTCTGTTGTTGTTCTGTAATTAGTTTGCCAAAAAATACTGAATAATTTAAAGGTTTTGCTGATTCGTTTGATTCATATCTCCGTTCTGTAATAAATCATAAAACAAAGGTCGAGAACGGCATTATTATTGTTAATCTGTTAATGAATTAGTCGTTGATAATTGTATATATTAACCTGATCTGTCATCCTGTGTGATTATTAAAATGAAATATTAAGCCAAAAAAAAGTGAAATCTCAAACTTTAAACCAGGGGTCACCAATCTCGGTCCTGGAGGGCCGCTGTCCCTGCAGGGTTTAGCTCCAACTTGCCTCAACACACCTGCCTGGGTGTTTCAAGTATACCTAGTAAGACCTTGATTAGCTTGTTCAGGTGTGTTTGATTAGGGTTAGAGCTAAAATCTGCAGGACACCGGCCCTCCAGGACCAAGATTGGTGACCCCTGGTTTACACAATGTGGGTGGACAAAATAAAGTTTTGAGAAAAAAAAAAAAAAAAAAATAAGAATAAATGAAGCCGATTGTTTTGCAGAATGTTTTAAAATGGCTTCTTAGTTAAATGTAAACCAATATTTTAACAGCTCATTAATATTTCATGATGTATAATTTATTCATTACATTTCTTTTTTTCAAAAGCTAATAAAGCCAAAAGGAACCTGCTGTCCAACTGCGTGTTTTCTTTGACATTTTCTCCCACTCACGTTTTAACCATTAACAACACATAAAATATTTTATTTCCTTTTCTTCCCCCCAGTTCAACACAAGCAGCTCTATCCTGAAGACTGGATTTGACTTCTTGGACAACTGGTAACTCTCGAAAAACCTTGCAGAAGGCATTCCAGATCCTAGGACCTACAAGCGCGACAAACCCAACACTACAGGACACCTTCCTTTTTTAAAAAAAACGCTTCAGTAGTTTATTTATAGTGCATCGATATCACTATGATTGTATTAAAATCTTCATCAATCTGACCTCATCTCACTGGTTGGATGATACTGAATGCATGAGCTATGATACAATTATCTGAGCATACTTCTATCCTTGTTTCTTATGCTGTTTTCACTCAAGGTACAATTCTTTAAATCGGAGCCCTTTGCTGTTAATACCATATTGGTCTGCTCTCCAACTTTTACGCTGTTCAGATCTACACTACATTCCTTGACCATCAACTTTAGAAACACTAAAATGGCTTATCATTGTAGCAAGTCTTCAAGTTGCAGAACAGGTTTGGTGTTCGGCGCAATACACTTAATCAATACCAGCCCACTTTTGGATCGCATTGACAAAGACCACAAACTTAAACTGTGGTCTACATAACTCCAAACCTTCAACTAAAACCACTTTTGGACTCCGGTTTAACTCCTTTATGCATAGTTGCAGAACTTTGGAAGACGCACTAGCCAAGCAATTCGAATGCCACATTGCTTCCACTGCCATGTGTTTCTATCTATGTTTATCTAGACCTCAATACTAGTGTTAAGATGCTTCACTGTACGTTTATTAAAATAAGGACCTGAATGAGGCAATGTAGCGCTGGCATGGTTTTAAGACGATCGCACCTTGCTTGTTTTGTAGACTTTTTATATATGCGTGTCATTGTATGCTTTGAAGTGGAATATTTACTTTTCTCCTAAATGCGTTCTGTTGTCTCGTTCCTGTAGCACAGTATACTATGGGGTGAGCTAATAATTTAAAGCAATAGGTTAAATCTATATTCTTTGTTAGGCTCGAAACATACTCCACACATGCAGATGCAACATTTTAGGTCAATTTTATACGGTTTCGAATTTGTATTTATACCCGTCGCTTAATGCGAACGCTGATACACACCTCTAAAAAAATCTACCTTCACGTTGAGATGATTGGGATCGCAAGATCTGTGATTGGTCGGCTAGGTAAATGGTAGGGCTGGGCGATTTGGCAAAAAAAAATCTAGTTTTTTTTTAAAAGTTTGACCGATTCACGATTTTGATTTTTGTTTTTATTGTGTAACTAGTCAACTTAAAACATTACAACAACACGACTGAAGTAATCTCTCAAGTAACTTGAAAAACCATCTCGTTAAGGAACTTAGTATTTTTAATGGCCAGAAGCATCGCGACAAGGCGCGCACATGACAGTTTAAAGTATCACCGACCAAACGCGCACATTCACATGATATCTGTGACACGGCTGAAATATGAACTGCGCGGCGCATCGCCGAACGGCGTTTCTGGTATGCGACCGGCTTCATACAGAGAGTGAACCAAAGCACATTGGTGCAATTATGATGTATGTAATATTTTTATATAAATAAATAAAAATTCGATATCTCGATTTAATATGAAATAAAATCGTCTTAAAACGTAAATTCGAATTAATCTAAAAAATCGCCTAGCCCTAGTAAATGGTGAACGATAGGTGGGGCCAAGAGCTGTGAGAGTGTCTAACAAGTGTTGAGTTCAGCAGAAGAGCTCTGGAACATGTGCATGTATATCGTCCTCCACACGGTTAAAGGACTGCTGTTTGAGACTCCGGACCAAGGCAAGGCCCGGCTTCTGACGCACTGGGAACAGATGGACTATAGCAGGGCTGCTCAACCCTGTTCCTGGAGATCTACCTTCCTGCAGATTTCAGTTGCAACCCATATCAAACACACCTGCCTGTTATTATCAAGTGCTGTTCAGGTTCTAATTAATAGGTTTAGGTGTGTTTGATCGGGGTTGGAGCTGAACTTTCCAGGGGCCTCATGTACGAAGACTTGCGTGGAAATTATACTAAAACATTGCGTACGCACAAAGCTGTAAATGTGCGTACGCAGAAAAAAATTCAGATGTATGAAACACTGCGTACGCCGAATCTCACGCATATTCTTTTGTACATCCGAATGAACGTGAAACTGAGCGCAACATGCACGAGCACAAAACTCCTCCCTGCCTCCTCCCCCGTATGAATATGCTAATGACTCTACTTTGGCAAAACCCAACGAAAAAGCAATGGCAAAAAGAGAAACTTTGAACAGAATGTGAATTGGAGGTGCTGCTTTCGGAGGTAGACCGGAGAAAAGCGGTGTTATTTGCAAGTTTGTTCTCCGGAATTAACAACAAAAGAAAAAAAGAGTGGGAGAGTTTAGCTGATGCGGTCAACACAGTTGGGTCTGAACATCGCACTGAGTGCATTTAAGAAAGAAATAGTCTGGTTTATATCTATAAAATGTTGCACTACCCTTAGAAGTCTCAGTGGCGCAGCTCATACGACGCATGTGATCATGAACTGACACGTTCGAGCTTAAACTCGGTTCGAATCCAGCGTCTGATGAATTATTTCTTCTTTTTTTTCCCCGCTACATATCAGATTTTGCCAACTATTTATCACGAGAAAGACAAGTAGGAATCATTAATAAGTTTGTGCATCATATTTTCTTTGTACATTTATTGAATGGAAATGTTTCTGATTCACGCATGCAAATTCATCTTCAGATAGTGTCTTTATAGCAATGTGCGTGCGGTAGATCGCTCCCATTACAATGGGAAAACAGGCGACTGCTGCAAATTGCGCTTTAATGTTTGGCTGGTCAACTGTATAGTATGGAAACCTTACATACCTACTAGATGAACCCGTCTCATACAGCTGCCATTGCAAGGCTCAGACACTTTGTAGAGAGGAATTTAACACAACTGCCTCTAGGAGTCGCCAATGGAAATAAAACAGACACAAAAAATGTGCGTACGCCAGCCAGAAAGTTGGCGTGGAGCTGCGCAGATTCCCACGTTCAGTTTATCGTTAGTAAATCCAAACATGAGCGATTCTGAGCGTGAAACCTGGCGTACGCAAAGTTTTTGTGTGTACGCAGCATTGATACATGAGGCCCCAGATCTCCAGGAACAGGGTTGAGCAGCCCTGGACTATGGTGTTCAGTTTACCGCCTCCCAAAAGTTTCTCACCATCATTCCTATTATACTGTATTTCTTGAGCAGTTTCTATACAAAGTATGACAGAGTCCACTTCGTCATCAACACCCGTTCGGTCTTTAATGTGTTATTGTAGTACATTGGTGGCTGAACAAAGGTGGAGAAAGCGTCTCCACTTGCTTCCACTAGAAACGTGAAGCCAAAATGTCCCTAAAAATGGGTGCTGACATTTTGCGCTAATGCCATTTGGAGCCAGAGTCTAAGCAGAAATCATGAAGTAGATCCGCGGTATTATCGATTAAAGTCTTGAAGTGAGTCAATGCTCCTCTATGAACTAGTTTTACTGGAAAAATACACATGACAGTCACCTTCAATTAATTGACGATCCCGTTACGATTTTTGCATAATTACAAAAGCCTGCCCCATATAAGCTATTCTATTCTAAAGACTAAATTCACATTGTACGCACTGTACACTAACCCTCACAGACACGTAAAATGTGAAGTATACTTTGAACTTTATTGGTTGGTAGGTGGTAACAAACTACTAAAGGGATGATGGAGTAACCATCTGCACCATTAAAACAAGTAGCTATAATTCAGGTCAAAAGTTGAACTAGCTTAAGTTTGATGTCAGAAAATGAAACGACGTGCCAAATCGAGACACTTTTGCGTTCATTATATTGTTGTACGATTCGGAGCTCAACAAACTAGAGTTCAGGGAACTGTTTTGAGTTGCTTTTCTTCTTTTTTTAATATAAAGTATGTGGCCTGGCGCCAGTGTTTATGCATTCATATATCTGTAATCCAAGTTAAGTACAATAAAAGATGCACACGAATGCTGTTGGTCTCATTCATCATCACATAACTGGTAGTGGTCACTGCAGAGGTGATTAAAAACAGACATGCGGAAAAAAGATGGAGCTCTACTCATAAATCCCATGACAAATAATTAAAGAGGTCGCTGCCTGCTGTGTTATTTATTTTAATAATATATGACTGTTGGATGTACGTTCTAGTAATTGGTCCCATATGTGGGATTTTCAAAATGCTACTAATACGATCTATTTAGGGAGTTTTGTTTTAGGGGATTGGCATTGATGCTCTGTGTTTTGGAAAAAAGAAGGCCTTGTTAGTTTCTTATTAGAAAATGTCTCTGGATTTTTTCAAAAGGGTCTTTAAAAAGTGTAACATGTACCTCTCATTGTGTTCGTAATATATATCGCTCCAGTTTCTGACTGGGAACTTGTATATCTGAATCTTTTTTAATGAGTTTAAATCAATGTAAAACAGTACCAACAACAGCATGAGATGTCATTTTGATGTTGTTTTTTGTGCTATAAATCAAATTGACTTATCATGTTCTTTTTTTAGTCCAAAAATCGACATTGAAAATTAGGCTTTGTCAGATTTGGTCCAAATTTAGCCCCAAAACAACATCAAAAATTGGCCTTTATTTAGTCTATCGGATTTGCTCCAGATTTAGCCCAAAAACACAATGTTGAAAAATAATCTTGCTTGGATCTGTTGGATTTGCTTCAGCTTTAGCTCAAAAAAGTGACATAAAAACTAGTTTTTGTTTGGTTTGTCAAATTTGTTCTAGATTTAGCCCAAAAAACAACATTGAAAATTGGTCTTTGTTTTGTCTGTCAAATTTGCTCCAGATTTAGCCTAAAAACACAATATTGGAAAAGGATCTTGCCTGGATCTGTTGGATTTGCTTCAGCTTAAGTGCAAAAAAGTGACATAAAACTAGTTTTTGTATGGTCTGTTGAATTTGTTCTAGATTTAGCCCCAAAAAAACAAAGTCAAAAATCAGTCTTCGTTTGGTAGATCAGATTTTCTCCAGATTTAGCTGCTCAAAAAAAAAAAAAAACAATGTTGAAAGATTTTCTTTGTTTGGTCAGAAAACGACACTAAAAATGGTTCTTTGTTTGGTTTGTCAGATTTGGTCCAAATTTAGCCCAAATAACAACATCGAAAATTGGTCTTTGTTTTGTCTGTCGAATTTGCTCCAGATTTAGCCTAAAAACACAATATTGGAAAAGGATCTTGCCTGGATCTGTTGGATTTGCTTCAGCTTCAGTGCAAAAAAAAGTAACATAAAACTATTTTTTGCTTGGTCTGTTGAATTTGCTCTAGGTTTAGCCCAAAAAACAACGTCAAAAAGCAGTCTTCGTTTGGTCGATCAGATTTTCTCCAGATTTAGCTGCTCAAAAAAAACAATGTTGAAAAATGTTCTTTGTTTGGTCAGAAAACGACACTAAAAATGGTTCTTTGTTTGGTTTGTCAGATTTGGTCCAAATTTAGGCCAAAAAACAACATTGAAAATTGGTCTTTGTTTTGTCTGTCAAATTTGCTCCAGATTTAGCCTAAAAACACAATGTTGGAAAAGGATCTTGCTTGGATCTGTTGGATTTGCTTCAGCTTTAGCTCAAAAAAGTGACATAAAAACTAGTTTTTGTTTGGTTTGTCAAATTTGTTCTAGATTTAGCCCAAAAAACAACATCGAAAATTGGTCTTTGTTTTGTCTGTCGAATTTGCTCCAGATTTAGCCTAAAAACACAATGTTGGAAAAGGATCTTGCCTGGATCTGTTGGATTTGCTTCAGCTTTAGTGCAAAAAAAGTGACATAAAACTAGTTTTTGTTTGGTCTGTTGAATTTGCTCTAGATTCTAGAGAACAACGTTAAAAATCAGTCTTCGTTTGGTCGATGAGATTTTCTCCAGATTTAGCTGCTCAAAAAAACAATGTTGAAAAATGTTCTTTGTTTGGTCAGAAAACGACACTAAAAATGGTTCTTTGTTTGGTTTGTCAGATTTGTTCCAAATTTAGGCCAAAAAACAACATTGAAAATTGGTCTTTGTTTTGTCTTGTCGAATTTGCTCCAGATTTAGCCTAAAAACACAATGTTGGAAAAGGATCTTGCCAGGATCTGTTGGATTTGCTTCAGCTTTAGTGCAAAAAAAGTGACATAAAACTAGTTTTTGTTTGGTCTGTTGAATTTGTTCTAGATTCTAGAGAACAACGTCAAAAATCAGTCTTCGTTTGGTCGATCAGATTTTCTCCCGATTTAGCTGCTCAAAAAAACAATGTTGAAAAATGTTCTTTGTTTGGTTAGAAAACAACACTAAAAATGGTTCTTTGTTTGGTTTGTCAGATTTAGCTCAAATAACAACATCGAATATTGGTCTTTGTTTAAACTATTGGATTTGCTCCAGATTTAGCCCAAAAACACAATGTTGAAACAATGATCTTGCTTGCGTCTGTTGGATTTGCTTCAGCTTTAGCGCAAAAAAGTGACATAAAAAGTATTTTTTGTTTGGTCTGTTGAATTTGCTCTAGGTCTAGCCCAAAAAACAACGCTGAAAATTGGTCTTCGTTTGGTCGATCAGATTTTCTCCAGATTTAGCTTCTCAAAAAAAAAAAAAAACAATGTTGAAAATGTTCTTTGATTGGTCAGAAAACGACACTAAAATTGTTCTTTGTTTTGTTTTTTCAGATTTGGTCCAAATTTAGCCCAAATAACAACATTGAAAATTAGATAGAAAATTGATTGAAAAATACATAGAAAATGGGTCTTCATTTAATCTGTTGGATTTGTTCCAGATTCATTACAAAAAAACAAAACAAAAACATTGAAAAAAGGTCTTTGGCTGCCTTTATACCGCAAAAATGATGTTGAAAATTGATATTTGTTTGGTCTGTTGTATTTGCTTTAGATTTAGCCCCCCAAAAAATGATGCTGAAAATTAGTGTTTGTTTGGTCTGTCAAATTTGCTCCACATTTAGCCCGAAAAACAACATTGAAAATTCATTTAATCTTTGGGATTTGTTTCAGATTTATCCCAAAAAAAAAACAAAGTTAAAAATTGGTCTTTGTTTGGTCTGTCGGATCTGCTCCAGATTTACTTTCCGTCAAGTGGTTCCAAACCTATGAGTTTCCTTATTTTAGAAGATAATTTGAAGAAAGCTGAAAACCACTGCCTTTAACCATAGGAAAAACCAATACTATGGAAGTCAACGGTTATTGGTTTCTAGCTTTCCTCAAAATGTTTTCTATTGCGTTCAACAAAAACTAAGAACGCATAAAGAATGAGTACATTGTGACCAAAATTAAATTTTTGGGTAAACTTTGCCTTTAATAAAAGTTTAATTCTGTAAAACCGAAAACATTTCAACTGGCTAAAAAAGTAATGGACACGCATGCTTTTTTACAGCGTTGTTGTTTGGTAGATATCTCAGTTGTTTATCTGTTTCTGGGTCCATTCCTTGTACTGCTAAAAGTCTAGACACGGTCATCTGGGAGAGATTTGCTTAGTTAGACTTTGTTATGTAATAAAGTGGATTCTTTCTTTTGGGCAGAAGTCCATTCTCACATCCTAACTCCCTTCCAAATGTCTCCTCCAGAGGAAGCAAGAACGAAAAAAAGGAGAAGAAGTGTCCCGTTTTAGAGGACGAGAAGTCGAAATTCCTTCCATGTGTGGAGACACAACTCAGCTGGTAATGAAACGTTCATCATTTTTCCTGTCACTCGGCCACCGCTGACTTCTACGGAACAACATGTTCCCAGCGGGGACAAACTTCACAGTTCTAATGAATGTGTTTGTAAGAAAGTTGAATCTCGGGCCAGAGAATGAAATGTTTATGTAAGAGGAAGAAAGAGCTGTGTCAGTAAAACTCTCAAAGAATGGAAGTGGGTGGGTAGAAAAAAAAAACAATCTGCGTTAAGGACGAAACAGCTGAAAGAATCTGTTTTAGACAAGGTGAAAGGAGGAGAAAAAGTGTCCCGACAGCTGCAGAGAGGGAGGGAGGAGGCTAAAACAAAACAGAGCTGTACAGAGGTGAACCCAAGAGAAGAGGGAAAGCAATGTGAAAGGAGGAGAGACGGCTGCTGTTGAGTCAGAGTCATTATCTCGATACTAATAGAGAGAGCGCTGGCTGGAAAGACGAAAGGGATTTATGAAGTAAAGTGATTTGAAGTGGAGATGACTCTAACAAAGATTCTGGCTGCTGTTTTGGGCTTCTGCGCTCTTTCCTCCTGCGACTCTGCAGACAACACCACTAGACCACCGGCCACCATCATCACAACAGCTGATCTCTCTCAGGTTAAGACTTTGCATTTGCTTGATGAAAAATTTGTCATTCTTCTTTCTTTCTTTGCTTCAGAATGACAGTCTTTTAAAATACGATCATATAATGAATGATTTCCATTGATGGATTCAGGTTGGAGTTCTGGTGATTAGTGAAATCAACCATGATGCTTATGAAATGGGTCTGTTTGAAGTGCCTTGGAGGCATTTAAATCCATTGTACTTCCCATGTTATACTTTAGTCATGGATTTTGACTCTTTCTACAATGATTTCTGTTTGTGGCAAAACTTTATTTTGCACCTGGTACTTCAAGTACTTGGTTAACCAGTGTGATGCATCTGTATTACATTGGAGATCAAATTTAAATGACGATTTATAAACACTTGATTATTGTGATACACAATTTAAACTATTTTAGTTGAGGCAATACCAATACCAACAGTGTTTTACCAAAAAAAAAGCAAGGCACTTCAACAAAAACCCTTTTGTTTTGCAGTGATCTTTAAGGAACAGTCTTGTTTGTGGTATGAAGAAAGATTAAAAACTAAAATCTTATATCGCAGAAGTAAAATAAGAGGTAGGACATATAGAAACTCTTGTTTTGAATGACATCAGAATATAGATCATCTTTAGTCTCCAACAGCACTTAACTAGTCTTTTCCAGAATATAACTAGTCTTTAAGTGGACATCACTAGTCTCTGACAGAACGTAACTAGTCTCTCACAGCATATAACTAGTCTCTAAGTGGACATCACTAGTTTCCATCAGCACTTAACTAGTCTCTCGCAGAAGGTAACTAGTCTCTAAGTGGACATCACTAGTCTCCGACTTAAAAGGTAGGACATATAGAAAGTCTTGCTTTGAATGACATCAGTACAACACATAATAGATCATCACTAGTCTTAGAGACTGGTTAAGTGCTGTCGGAGACTAGTGATGTCCACTTAGAGAATAGATATATGCTATACCTGGTCTCTAACTGGACATAACTAGTCTCCAACAATGCTTAACTTGTCTCTCACAACAAATAACTAGTCTCTAAATAGACATCACTGGTCCCTGACAGCACTTAACTAGTCTGTCACAGCATATAACTAGTCTCTAACTGGACATCACTAGTCTCTGACAGCATTTAACTAGTCTGTCACAGCATATAGCTAGTCTTCACCTGGACATCACTAGTCTCCAACAGCACTTAACTAGTATCTCACATCATATAACTAGTCTCTAAGTGGACATCACTAGTTTCTGACAGAACTTAACTAGTCTCTCACAGCATATAACCAGTCTCTAAATGGACATCACTAGTCTCCAACAGCACTTAACTTGTCTTTCACATCATATAACTAGTCTCTAAGTGGACATCACTAGTTCCCAACAGCACTTGTCTCTCACAGCATATAACTGGTGTCTAAGTGGACATCACTAGTTCCCAACAGCACTTGTCTCTCACAGCATATAACTGGTGTCTAAGTGGACATCACTAGTCTCCAACAGCACTTAACTAGTCTCTCACAGCATATAACCAGTCTCTAAATGGACATCACTAGTCTCCAATAGCACTTAACTTGTCTCTCACATCATATAACTAGTCTCTAAGTGCACATCACTAGTGTCTGACAGAACTTAATTAGTCTCTCACAGCATATAACTAGTCTCTAAGCGGACAGCCAAGAGCTGTCTCCAAGTGGACAGCCCTAACTAGTCTCTCACAGCATGTAAATAGTCTCTAAGTGGACATCCCTAGTCTTCGACAGTACTTAACTAGTCTCTTACGGCATATAAGTAGTATCTAAGTGGACATCACTAGTCTCCAACAGCACTTAACTTGTCTCTCACAGCATCTAACTGGTGTCTAAGTGGACATCACTAGTCCCCAACAGCACTCAACTAGTCTCTCACAGCATACACCTGGTGTCTAAGTGGACATCACTAGTCTCCAACAGCCCTTAACTCGTCTCTCACAGCATATAAGTAGTGTCTAAGTGGACATAACTAGTCTTTGACAGTACTTAACTAGTCTCCCACGGCATATAACTAGTCTCTAACTGGACATATTTAGTCTTCGACAGCACTTAACTAGTCTCTCACGCCATATAACTAGTCTCTAACTGGATATATTTAGTCTTCGACAGTACTTAACTAGTCTCTCACACCATATAACTAGTCTCTAACTGGACGTATTTAGTCTTCGACAGCACTTACCTAGTCTCCCACAGCATATACTTAATATCTAAGGGGACATCACTAGTCCCCAACAGCACTTAACTTGTTTCTCACAGCATATAACTAGTCTCCAGCAGCTACAAGTCTCTTACCAGACATCACTAGTTTATATTAGTCTCTCGGATAAAGAAGTTACCTCAACATTTAGGAAAAGTTGAGTTTTCTAATTCCGATGTTGACACTAGGTAAAGGTAATGCACTGCTCTGCCAATGTCTGGAAACATCTGAAAGTATGCCAATAATATAATATGCAATATACTGTAAAATCTGCAGCTGCCCAACATTGGCAAGCTGACCCTTACTTTTGGCACATAGCATAGACTCTTCCAGACTGTCAACTGGGGCAATATAAGGGCGATTTTGGCATAGAGTATTGTTCATTTTAAAAGGTGTAGGTCAGGGCTTTTGATGTGGACTTGTGGTCATTTCATTCCACAGGCAAGAGAATTCAATGAGGGGATTGTCAGAGGACGAGGGGACACTCCGGACATCTTAGAACCTGAACCCACCACTGCTGTCTCGGACATGGAGAGCACATACAACTACATCTGTATGTTCGCAAGCTACTTCTTTTACTTGCGTGCCAGAAAAGCAAGCCAAAACCAATACCACAGAATGTAAATATGCAAATATCCTAGCTGCAATAACACCCCATGTCTGGACTTGCACAAATAAAGGTGTTTTATGTGTGACCTCACAAGAAGGCTTGCTATTAGGGTAATGTTTAATAGTCTGGGCATGCACATTACATAATGCAACTTGAGAATGTTATTTTGATGAATTCTGTCAGTCAATCACCCCGCCTTCAAAATTACGGCACTTCGTGTTCAATATATACATAGAGCATTATGACCATATCATGATATGAGTGTTTTTGGTCATATCACACAGCCCTAACTTTGAAAGACTTGATTGATAATTGTCTATGTCTACATTTGTTCAGTGTCTAGACTAGCAGCGATGGATCAGGCCATCCACAGGCTTAACGTGGGACAATACACTTTAGACATTAAAGTGACACAGCTGCTGGAAAAAGTGTCGCGCCTAGACAATAGACTGGGTGATACTGAGGACGCCATTCAGCAAGTCTCGTCCTACTGCAAGGACAATCGCAAGGAGATTGGACGCCTAGAGGGTCAGTGGGTTCTCTTCTGTCTTTATGGGTGTAAAGTGGGGAATTTTAGTCAATTATAGGCAATCTGTAAATACACCAGGCACCAAACTTTGACATTTTAGTCAAGCAGGACTTTTTATCAGTGTTCCAATAGCTATGTTTCTATCCAAAGATGCTAATTAGGGCATATTCACACTATGTACAGTTGCCTTGAACCGGACCAAAGTACGCTTGTTGCCCCTCCCGTCTCCCCCGACGGCCAGCACTCACATTAAGCCTGGTTTATACTTCTGCGTCAAGTGACCGGCGTAACCATCGGCGCATGCAACGCCCGTAGCTGTGCATTTATACTTCTGTGCGCTGTCTCTGTTGGTCTGCATTACACTTCAGAAAAGCTAGTTGGCAGTGAGGTGTAAATGTTCCTCTGTGTCGAGTTTCTTCGCTGCTGTTTTGCTTTTCCTGAACACTTCCTGGATGTACAAGTGCCTCAAACTCGCTCATTTTGAGGCAGGAACCGGCGGACGTGCAACAACTTTAACTATGAGGTAAACACAAAACAAAACTTTCAATCCGGAGCTCCTTTACGGGACTCCACACTTGTAAACAATCGCTCCATTGGGCTTGCCCCCAGCTCGCACCATTCGTGCGGCTCTCGGTCCCACCCAAACTCGTCAGCGCTACCAAGCTGACCAAACACAGAGCTTGCGCTACGCGTCGTTGCGACGTGTAGTTACATTTTTTGAGAAGTGCACATAAGTGACCCCGACGGCCACGGCGAAGGGCTATGCGTCAACGCTGTAGCATACGCGTTTATAAATCAGCCTATACATTCCGGCCTAGGCACCCTCACGTCATCGATGATGTGCTGTTCAGTAAGCGCTTTCGCTCAGCAGCACAGTGGAGATTTCTTTAGTTATATCGGTTTAGTGGTTTGGGATGCAGTGACATGCAGTCCAATATTTCGCCGAACAGATCAGCCACTTTTGATGCACATAAACAACCATAAAGTCCTCGTGCTGCAGGAATTAGGAGGTTTGCTGAAGGTGCAGCTGTGGTGCATCTTTAATAAACTATGACAGTTTGCGTTCATTGAACAGTAAGAATGATTAATAAATCCATATGAAGTCACGTCTCGCTTTCAGTTTCGGGCTCAGGCGCGTTTTGCACTCACACACAAGCGTAACACGCCTGAGCCCAAGTGAACCGCGCAACAGGCACACCTCTTCCAACCGGGCCACGGCCGCAAGTGAACTGTGCCTGGGCCCAATTCAGAGCACTCACATGATCCGGAAAACAGGCCTGGGCACAGTTTGGATAGCATAGTGTGAGTACTCCCTTAAACTGATGCACAAAAATGTAATATCTCAGTATAAAGATAAAAGTTTAAAGATCTAATTATCAGTTTCCATCTAATGAGTCAAAGAGAACAAAATCGTCACTTTCTAATAAACTGGGGCCAAATATCAAAAAGAAAACTGTAATAGGAGAAGCCACTATTAGTCTGAATTTCTTGTGCCTCAGAAGACAAAACCGACACTCAATCAACACATGTTGACTTTTGGAAGGGTGAGACACGCTTTGGGAGCACAGATTAGTTTAGCTAAGGGATTTTAGAATGACCAAAACTAGGGATGTAACGGTATTGTAAATACCGTCATACCGCAATATTAATTTTTTTTCGATATTACCGAAGTCGCATGACTCGGTAAAACTATAGGTCTTCTGAGAAAATTTGCTCAGGCGAATGAAGCGAACGGGAGGTAGCTGAAACTTCATTTCCCATCAGCCCCGGCGTGGCCATAATCCTTTGCGGTCTGTTGTCGCTACAGATCCAGTAATGCGGAAATGGAGTGTGCTGCTAGTAGCGGAGATGAAAAAAAGATGGAAATGATCGAACCTAAAGCGGGTGTTGTCGCCGCGCACTTGCTGAATAGCGGTGCTGTCGCGCGCGTTCTGATCAGCTGTGTTGTGGCGCGCGTATTGTAAAGCGCCGAGGGGGGGTTGAGCGCGCATACTCAAGAGAGGTGTTATCGCGCGCCTACTGAAGGGCTGGACTGGACGGAGGTTGTGTCGCGTCGCGGGGGCACTTTTGATCGTTTTGGACGGGCATTTTCTATCCAAGACTAAAAAGGGCATGTGCACTGCACAGGTTGAGCCCTATGTGTGCACGTGCCTGCAAGTTGGGGAATACGACTAATAACAGTCATGGGGACTGCAGAAACACAGCACACTGTTCAGATTGATGCAGACATTGACTTGTACCGCAAAGAGATCTCTATCTCACTCATGGTTTGTCCTCTCAAGTGGGGGAAAGACAATGCACAACGTTACCCCACTGCTGTCAACCTGGGCCAAGTCATATCTCTCTTGTCCCAGAATCCTCAGTCCCAAATGAGAGGGGTTTTTTCTGTTGCAGGGGACATTGTAAATACCCAGAGATACCAGCTTTTACCAGATTATAGTTATATGATAATTTTCCTTTAATCCCATCTCTATCTAAGTGAGCGAGTGATTAAATGTTGAATGTGATGAGTTTTCAACACTACTAAATTGAAACTTTATTTTTTTACATGGTTTAATAATTTTTTGTTATTAAAATTGAAGTTCCTGTTTCAAAGCTTACAGATAGATGGCTAATTTGTATGTCATTGACACTTTTGGCACTTTTTTGGAGTATTTTCAAAAGTTTTTTTTTTTCCTGTAAATGATTCAATAAATACCGTACCGTGACATTCATACCGAGGTATTACCGTACCGTGAAATTCTGATACCGTTACATCCCTAACCAAAACATTTCAGATGTTTTGGAAACTGGTCAGACCACTGGTTTGTCTTTTAATGCCATTCCCTCTAGCCCATCATTCATTGCCATTTTATCAAGCGTTTTGTTTTTCATCCAATAGTCAAAAATTTGCATAAAATAGGTGAAGGCTAACATGGCTAATCACAAAGTAAAGAAATTACAGTCATTTAGTGAATTATAAAACAACTCTAAAGTCAAAGCAAAATCACTGGTCAATAGGAGAATGTTATGTAACTTTCTACCAAATCATAACCCTTGCCTAAGTTCGTAGTTGTAACCTATACCCACAAAACATCCAGTTCAGAATTTGGCCTCCATTCCTTTACCTGACCTCAGGCCTTCATCCCATGATAATTCAAAAAACAATCTCCAATCTGAAATATTTCCATCTCTCACCTTGACCATTTAGGCTAGGGGTCACCAATCTCAGTCTTGGAGGGCCTTGCAGAGTTTTGCTCCAACATGCCTAAATATATCTGCATGGAAGTTTCAATTCTACCTTCCAAGACCTTGATTAGCTTGTTCGAATGTGTTGATTTCTGTTGACAATATTGTGCTTCCATTGACAAAAACAGAAAAATTTGCCCTTTATGTCTAAACCAGGGGTCACAATCTCAGTCCTTTAGGGTTTAGCTCCAACTTGCTTCAACACACCTGCCTGGATGTTTCAAGTATACCTAGTAAGACCTTGATTAGCTTGTTCAGGTGTGTTTGATTAGGGTTGGAGCTAAAATCTGCAGGACACCAGCCCTCCAGGAACAAATTTGGTGACCACTGGTCTAAACTTTACATCTACAATTGAACTCCCAGCACTTAACTTAAATTAGGGGTGTTCCAAATTGTTTCTGGAGGGCCACTGTCCTTCAGGGTTGAGCAATTAAACACCAACTAATCAAGGCCTTTAGACTCACTATACAATTTAAGGCAAGTGTGTTGGAGCTGGTTGAGGCTAAAGACCCCCCTGACATAAAGACTGAAGTTCAATCCTGCTCTTGGAGGACCACTGTAATACAGTTCACAACTCACATTTACTCTAAGGAATTGAGGCCGGAACTGGCGAATGCTTAACAAACTCTTTAGCATCAAAAATAATACAAAAGAAAAATAAAGCAGCAGTCCCTCACAGACAAACAGTCCCTCACAAATCTCACAAACTTAAAACTACAACATACAAGATGCTTCTCCATTAGCAGGGTGAAAGATTGTCTTTGCTTAACCGTGTCGCTCCAGGCCTGTCAGCAGAGACAGTTTCATTTGTCATGGTGGTGCCAATAACGAAGCTCATTGGAATGTAATACAAATGTGCTAGCTGTTGCCTTGGTAATGGCATTAGGCCACAACTGCCCACAAAGCGGCTGTTTCCACCAGTTCCTAGCCTTACCTTTTCCCCCCAACTCCAATCTTTCCATTGTAAAAGATCTAACCACCAATCTCCAAGTCAAGTTTCTGTCCTTTAACACTTCCATTACTTTCAGACCAAACTCCGGTTCCAAATTTCCTACCTTAAAAAAATTCAAATCCTTTGCCTGTCAAAATCTCAACTCTCACCTAAACTCTAAGTCTCTATTTCCACACATTTTCCTAAATACTTCCTAATCCAGATAGCTAAACTATGTTATGGCAGACATGCTGCCAATGCTGGTACTGATGTTTTAAAAGGGACTTACTTGGGAAGTATTTACCAGACTTGACGTAAAATCAGATCTGATCGGGTATTAGTAATGTACCAGGATGGGAAAGGTTTTTAGTCCAGGAATAAATACTACTTGAGGACATCAAACTACTCCACTTGACACTCATAAACCTTTGTGTGTTCTACTTGACACTAAATGTGAAAATGATTTAACAATTTATGTCTTTCCAGGCTGCCAGAAAGGCCGTAAAATAGGTTACAAATGCGTTCTGGCATACCGCGTGTACGAGACCTACGCAGATGCGTCCAAGAAATGTCAGGAGCGTGGAGGACGCATGGCCATGCCACGAGACCGCAAAGAGCAGGAAGCTCTGGCTGAATATGTGAAATCTGTATTCCATGGAAACTGGCCTGTGTGGCTTGGGATAAACGATGAGCGCTCTGAAGGCCTCTACCTGTTCGAGGACACGACACGCGTCACTTACTTCCAATGGAGGAAGCACTTCCTATCAAGCCAGCCAGATGGCGGGAAACGAGAGAACTGTGTAGCCATGTCCTCAGATGATGGAGACTGGTGGGACACTTACTGTGAAAGACGCATGTATTATCTGTGTGAGTTTGATGTCTGATAAAGTCCCACGTGGCACATCTGACTTAAAATTTTGATTTACTTTCAGCTATAAAGACCAGCTATTTACTGCCTCCCCACTGAAGCCAAATGCAATTCTATAAGTTTAAACATCTTCATTCTCAGCTAGTCTTGTCGGCTTAGTCCCTTTATTAATCCGGGGTCGCCACAGCGGAATGAACCACCAACTTATCCAGCATGTTTTTACTCAGCGGATGCCCTTATAGCCGCAACCCATCTCTGGGAAACATCCACACACACACTCATACACTAGACAATTTAGCCTACCCAATTCACCTGTACCACATGTCTTTGGACTGTGGGGGAAACCAGAGCACCCAGAGGAAACCCACGCGAAGGCAGGGAGAACATGCAAACTCCACACAAACACCAACTGAGCCAAGGTTCGAACCAACGACCCAGCGACCTTCTTGCTGTGAGGCGACAGCACTACCTACTGCGCCACTGCCTTGCCAAAAAGTTATATATGTCCATTTATTTTTTACTTTCAGTTAACATTTCCCTTATAGAAAAAAAATGAGGTTTAAATCTTAAATCACTCGTGAAACACCCACAAAACACGATTTTGGAACATTTTCATGTGGAAAGAAGTGATGACATGATCATAGTCCTTTTTTCCCCCCATACTCAAGCGTTCCAACACCACATGTTTCATGTGGGTATCACATGTGTTTCATGTCATTTTCATTTACGTGAAGCTCATCTGATGCTTGTGGTTTTTCTCTAAGGCTTGGTTAACAAGCTAAAAATGTAGCCTACTAGTTCAACACAGCACTTTTGATTTGATCCCGAACATATTGTTCTAAACTGCGAGTTTTGCAGGTGAATGTCAGTACTTTTCTAAGAGATCGGACAACAGAGTATATATATAATGCATTTATTTTCTAAACGTGTGTGCACTTAAACAGTGCATTAGCCTATTGACCTTATTCTAAAATGCAGAAGTGCGCCTGTTTTCGTGATTGTCTTCCGTTTCAGTCGCCTATGGAAGAAATGTCAAGGAATAATAAACTGCAAAAAACGGTCAAACTACTTCCTCTACAAACAAATGTTTGCATGACTACACAGACCAAGTAGAATAATATAACAAGGAAATATAAGTTTGCAACATCAAACAGCAAAACGAGCAGTTTTTAATGTCTAAAAATGAATGGAAGTGAATGAGACTGGAAGTCTCGTGCCAAAAAGATTCAAATGGCAGCGCCCGCTCGTCTGTGGAGAATAAGGTCAATAGATAGCTGTAAAAGTATATAGTAGGAATTATGATGCTAATGGCCTGGTGTTGACCCCTAATAGAGAAGAGAATACCCTGAAGTCAGTAATGGGATCTTAATAGCTATTATCGGGCAATACTTTATTTGTACAAAGATCTGCAATTGATGGACCTATGATATTATTCTGAAACACTTAGCGTTACATATTTTTAATGTTTATTAGTCTTTTATTCCAACAGTGGTCAACATTAGCCTTGCTTCTTGCTTTAAATTAGTGAGACTTTAGAAATTAGTTTAACTTTTTGTTCTTCTAAAACATTCTTTAGAATCATTACTTGTTGTTTCAACTCTGTGAAGCATTTGATTTCAAGGCTTAAATCAGTTAGCTATTGATACAGTATCTGACATCAAGTAGTTTATTCAATTACTTAAATTATCAAAGAAATTACAACCATTTTTTAAAATCAGTTAGATATTTTATTCCCCTTTGCAAACATTTACCCTTCGTTGTACATAGTAAGCAGCTTAACAAGATTATTTCATCTTTTAAATCCCTCATTAGTATTTAACATTGTTATTGATTAATGTGTATTATAAAGGTCAGTCAGATCTGTAACTCAACAGATAAAAAGCTGTGATGACCTGAGGGTGTAAATTCCCATCAGAAAAGACTCTTCGTAAATATAAGAATTCGAGTCAAATCTTCATCCATGCAACCTCAGGGGGAGCTGTTTATCTGTGGAGCCAACTTACAGTATAGCACACATTTAACTCCTAACATCAGTGACAGTCTCATTTCATAGCTCTAATTTCTTGTTAAAGGGTGCACCCTGACCTGATGCAGAAAAGAACGCAAAAGTCATATTAACTATTTTTTCTGCATACAAAAGTGTTCTTGGAGCTTCAAGAGATTTCTACACATAATAGTTTTAATAACAAATTTCTAATAACTGATTTATTGTATCATTGCCATGATGACAGTAAATAATATTTTTCAGGACACTTCTATACTGCTTAAAGTGACATTTAAAGGCTTAACTAGGTTAATTAGGTTAACTAGGCAGGTTAGGGTAATTAGGCAAGTAATTGTATAATGATGGTTTGTTCTGTAGACTATCAAAAAATATAGCTTAAAGGGGCTAATAATTTTGACCTTAAAATAGTGTTTAAGAAATTAAGAACTGCTTTTATTTTAGCCGAAATAAAACAAATAAGACTTTCTCCAGAAGAAAAAATATTATCAGACATACTGTGAAAATTTCCTTGCTCTGTTAAACATCTTTTGGGAAATGTAAAAATCATTTGGTTCAATTGCATTTTTAAGACCTCTGAAATGTGGATTCAAGACTTTAAGGATCCGTGGACTGTAACATTAACAAGCAACGCTTTGGATTTTAATGATGCATTGGTAAACATAGAACTATACTTTGTTTAATTAATGCTTTACAAGATTACTCATGATTAGTTAACTGCATTAACTAATATTAAGTAATGGACCATTATTCTGAAGTGTTATTTGTAAAAAATTTGTATTGGAGTACTATTCCACTTCAATTTGAGCGTCTGGAATCTCTACTTTATTTTGGCCATCTATGTAGCATAGTAAATAAAAGAAAACACGAATGAATATAAGTTTTCAGGAAATGGACCTTCTTATCTTAATGGCAAGCAAGCAAGAAAAGCATGGGAAGTCCTTTTTCTTTTCTCCAGAACTTATTAATGCGCATAGTGAGCAGAGACGGTGGCCAGAATCTGAGTAGCGGATGGTCTGTCCACAGGGCTTTTACACCGGTAGGAAAATATCACTTTACCATCCTGCTCCAGCACAAAATCGCCACCCATCTGAGAGAGAGACAGAGACAGAGAGAGCGTTTAATCCATTTTCAAGAGCCCTAGACCTTTTTTTTGGTTCTCTCACTGAGTATTATGCAATATTTGGCGCTCCTTTTTATGTATTTGGCACATTCCATGAATAGACTGACTGTATTAAAACATTTTCTTCTTTATTTGACAAAGAGTCAGTGAAATTTATTTTAATGTCCAACAGAATAATGCATCAGCGGTTTTATTTCATGCTGAGTTTGGAATTTCTATGTCTATATCAAGATGTATCAGCCCTGATTTACTGATTTAAAATTATTAGCTCTTCTTTTTTCAATTATTTCCCAAGTGTTTTTCGTTTTCAACATTATTTTAAACTTACTTTATGATGCCAGTGCATAATATTTTAATTTAAAGGACACAAGTAATCAGCTTAAAGTGCGATTTAAAGGGTTAATTAGGTTCATTTATTTAGATTAAGTTAATTACTGATTTGACAATAGTGGTTTGTTCTGTAGCTAATCAAAAAAAAATTATCTTCATTCATTCATTCATTCATTTTCTTGTCGGGTTAGTACCTTTATTAATCCGGGGTCGCCACAATGGAATGAACCGCCAACTTATCCAGCAAGTTTTTACGCAGCGGATGCCCTTCCAGCCGCAACCCATCTCTGGAAAGCATCCACACACACATTCACACACACTCATACACTACGGCCAATTTAGCCTACCCAATTCACCTGTACCGCATGTCTTTGGACTGTGGGGGAAACTCGGAGGAAACCCACGCGAAGGCAGGGAGAACATGCAAACTCCACACAGAAATGCCAACTGAGCCGAGGTTTGAACCAGCGACCTTCTTGCTGTGAGGCGACAGCACTACCAACTGCGCCACTGCCTCGCCCAAAATTATCTTAAGGTGGCTAATAATATAGGCTGTAGCAGTTTTAAAATGTTTTTAATTTTTTTATTTTAGCCTGAATTAAATAAAAATATAATAGGAAAACCCTGTTAAGATATCCGGTAACACTTTAGAATAACTATCTGTTATAACTAGTTATCAGATCATTAATAAACTGTTAGGTAATGGCTTATAAATGACTTGTTAAATAGTAGTTAATAGTTTGTTAATTATTTCTAACTGTGCCTTATAGAAAGCCAATAGATAACTTACAAGCTGTTAGTTAAGTTAAAAATGACTTTTATAAATACTTTAATGATTTATAACTATACCTAATAAATTGGTAATAGATCATGAACAAGCTGTTTGTAAATTACTAAAGACTTTAAGTATCAGTCACAGATACAGGGACACTGGAGCACTTTAAAGCCGTGAAGATCAGTCGATTCATTAGGGGATCGCTTATATGTCAGCTTATAGACAAACCAGCTGATCTTTGCAGCTTTAAAATGCTCCCTGTATCTGTGGTTACACTCAGTAAACAGTGGTGAGTTTGGTGAACTGATGACCTTCATGGCCAATCACAGTCATTTCTGTTGAGCATATGAACTCTGACAAATTAGTGATGTTTAAAAATGCACTCAACAGCGCTTAAACGTTAGCGGGAAATAGACGTTTTTACAATTTCAGCATTGAATATTTTGATTGGTACTGAATTCCAGTATCTTGACAACCTTAGTCCCAAGTCAGTGCTCAATACTTTGAATAAAATGTTTCGAACGTCACCTGAAAAAGATCCTCGATGAACTGAGGCGGCATTTCGGGTAACGTCCGGTTCATGGCCATAATCTCAGAGTAGTGGAACATCAGCTTAAACTTCATGACTTTGCTCATGGATGAACCCAGACCGAACATTTTGTACACCTGTTCAGACATTGAACAAACATATCATTAGTACAGAAGTACTAATAAAACCCAGGAGGATTAAACAAAACCGTTTGTTGTCTCGATTTTAATGGATTGTGGTCATGTTGATCTGCTTCGTTCTCTCTTTTAATTGAGTTCAATTGTGGGCAAGCTGTAACACTTCATTTTCTTGTTAGGAAAAAAAATACAAGAAATCACAAACATGAATGAAGTGTTTTTCCCACAACTTTACTGGATGTAAACTGTGGTCATGTTTTTCTGCTTTTGTTTCCTCTTTTAATTTAGTTAAACCATGACTAAGCTCTACTACTACTTTCTTTTGATTTCAATAACAGGAGGAGAATAGAAATGATTAAGCAAATTTGTTTGTTACTAAAATTAGTTAAGTGTTTGACATGATCTAGAATTATTAGCCCTCCTTCATTCATTCTCTTGTCGGCTTAGTCCCTTTATTAATCCTTATCCAGCTATTTTTTACGCAGTGGATGCCCTTCCAGCCGCAACCCATCTCTGGGAAACATCCACACACACATTCATACACACACTCGTACCCTACGGACAATTTAGCCTACCCAATTCACCTGTACCGCATGTCTTTGGACTGTGGGGGAAACCGGAGCACCCGGAGAAAACCCACGCGAAGGCAGGGAGAACATGCAAACTCCACACAGAAACGCCAGCTGAGCCGAGGTTCGAACCAGCGACCCAGTGACCTTCTTGCTACCTACTGCGCCACTGCCTTGCCCTTCCTCCTGAATTATTAGCCCCCTATATCTGACAGTACATAATATTTGACTAGATATTTTTCAAGACACTAGTATTCAGCTCAAAGTGACATTTAAAGACTTAACTAGGTTAATTGGGCACGTTAAATAATTATACGTAATAAATATGATTAATTATATGGTTTAAAGTGTTTTTTAAATTAAATTCTTGCTGAAATAAAACAAATAACACTTTCTCCAGAAGAAAAACTATTATAGGAAACACTGTGAAAAAATGCTTGCTCTGTTAAACATCATTTGGGAAATATAAAAAAATAATAATTATAAAATCACAGGAGGGCTAATAATTTTGACTTCAACTATAGATACAGTATACATTACAGTGTTGCCAACTTAGGGACTTTGTCACTAGATCCAACCTGATAGAGCTTGAGAGGTACTGCAAAAAGAAATTCCCAAAGACAGATGTACCGAGCTTGTGGCGTCACATTCAAAAAGACTTGAGGCTGTAATCGCTGCCAAAGGAGCATCAACGAAATATTGAGCAAAGGCTGTGAATACTGATGTATATTATTTTTTCAGCTATTTTATTATTTAAAAAATTTGCAACAATTTCCAAAAAATCTTTTTTCACATTTCACATGTCATTATTCACACATTTTGCAGAATAACTCTAGTTTACATTTACATCAATTGCTCATGATTGAGAAATAATGAATTGAGTTTGAAAGTTATGATGTATGAAATATGGAGTCATTACATGCTTTGTTACAAAAAAAATCCCAAATTTAACACTCTTAAGTGTTCATCTTTTAAATAAAACTAATAGGCTCTGTTTGACTCAAATGTAAAGAATTAAGGGATTAATTTCTACTGTTTCTATAGTTTTTATTCAGTACTGAGTCAAGTAATTAAAGTACTTTTCAGACAAAGTAATTAGAAAAGTCATTTAAATTCGACTTGAATTAGTAATTAGTAATTAAATACTTTTTTTGAAGTAATTTACCCAACACTTTACACAAGTATGATAGCTTACTATTAAGCCAGGAAAGGGCTAGATTAGGACTACATTATACTTTTGCACTCTTGAAAGTTCTCACCGTTCTCTCTGTATCCAGCAACATGTCAAATTCAAAGCCTGTCTGCTCGAGCCAGAAAGTGGCCCCTTCAAGAGAGCCATACGAGACCACCAGCACCCGCAGTGACTGAGCTTCCAGAAGCATCTGTGTGAGAAAAGAAAACAACAATACTGATGATTTAAAATACCAACACATTCTCACTCCACACTCATCACACTCATCACGGCATCTTTTTCAGCATCGTTTTACGGCAAGCAGGGTCCTCCAATGCTTTTGGTGGTTTGCATTATGCAACGCATCGTATTATGCAACCCATACTTCATCCTGAAATTTTTTTTTAAATTAATTAATTAACAGATAGGGGCGAAGCAGTGGTGCAGTAGGTAGTGCTGTCGCCTCACAGCAAAAAGGTCGCTGGTTCGAGCCTCGGCTCATATGACGTTTCTGTGTGGAGTTTGCATGTTCTCCCTGCGTTAGCATGGGTTTCCTCCGGGTGCTCCGGTTTCCCCCACAGTCCAAAGACATGCAGTACAGGTGAATTGGGTAGGCTAAATTGTCCGTAGTGTATGAGTGTGTGTGTGGATGTTTCCCAGAGATGGGTTGTGGCTGGAAGGGCATCCGCTGCGTAAAAACTTGCTGGATAAGTTGGCGGTTCATTCCGCTTTGGCGACCCCGGATTAATAAAAGGACTAAGCCGACAAGAAAATGAACGAATAATTAACAGATTTATTTTGGAGCATCTAACCCAAAACCTACATGCTTCTGAACAACACAAATAAGCAGCAGGCAAATAAGAGAAGTCACGGGTGTTTATTGCATAAACAACCATATAAAAGTGATACAAACTAGTCGTGTTGCATGCCAAGGCCTGTGCATAGAGTCATATGAGGGAGTAAATTATGACCGAGAAAATTATGAAGTTTCAATCGATAAAAATGACCCTGCTATCGCTAAATGATGTCCACCGATTTACAGATGCAATTGATCTTGAGACACAGAGGCAGCCTATAGAATTCGACAACCGAAGCTGATGTAAGCATCAATTCCTTCCAGAAATAACTTACTTGGAAATATTTACATATTTTCAATAAACTGCAGCTGTAGTTGTATCTGCCTGCTATATCCTGTGTTTTTTATTGACAAATGGATTGAGATTGGGTTTAATGTTAGGTGCTTGTAAATATGTTCATGGCATAATGCAAGTGTAGCGAGTGGGACGAGGCCGAGAGCTGTGGGAATGGAGCGAGGCAGAGAGCCTAACTGTGCGTTCACACCGAAGGCAGCGAGAACATCAAAGGTCGCCTTGGCGACAACGCTGTTTGCTTTCAGCTTAGCGTCAAAATTCGCTACATTGATCTCGTATTTAAACGGGCCATTAAGCATATCAGTTACATTCCTGCATAAAATGTGCTTTCTTATGTTGAACACACACGAAAAAGCGATAGTTTGAAGAATGCTGCAAAGCAGCAGCCATTGACTTCCATAGTATTTTTATATTCCACAATATTTTTAGTTACATCAATTAATGCCAATGGCAGTTCTTGTCCAACTTCCTTCAGAACATCTTGTTTTATGGCCAACGGATGAAAGAAACTCATAAAAGTGTGACTAAACGGGAAATTTTCATTTTTGAATAAACTATACTCCTAATGCTGGCTTGCACTATACAAGCGCAGCACACTATTTTCCCTTGCAAAGTCCACAGCTGGATCAACAATCGTTGGAAAGCTGCTTTCCAATCAAGTGTCCGCCTGCAGAAAGGGCTGAGCTCTGCAGTGTTTCCCCTTTACTGGCAGCTGATCTTACCTTGCTGTTCTTCAGCTCAGTCAGGTGGTCCCGTCATGGCAATCATCCGAAATGCCTGAGCAGCACAAGCAGGAGATTCTCCCCTTTCCCTAAATACTGACCCAGAGACACATTCCTGCAACAGGACAACACAATCACAACAATCATTATGGTTAGCTTGTCATTTCAGGAAACGAGTGTAAAAGCAAAAACACACAAGAGGTTGAAATGAATTTGGAGTTTTGCATGATTTAGAGGACCTTCTTAAAATGTCTTATTTTAGTTATTTTTTCTTGGGTGCAAAACTTTTCAACTTTTAAGCAAAGATTTAAAATCCACAAATAGTGACAGCAGAATCAAGAGCAAATTAAAAGGGCACAATAAAAAGTGTGATAACCCAGCTAGCAAATTTCATGTGGCTCAAATTCGGCCCACACCAGACACTTACATCTGGCCCACGTACCGCATAGAATTATGGCACTTGGGAGGTCTGCTTCTGTTTGCCAGATCTGGGCCACAATTAAGCCATACCAACATCACATATCAGCCAGAATTTAACTAAATGAACCAGAACTGACCCTATTCTGGGCCACAGTTTGCTTTTATTCTGGCCCAGATCCGGCCCACAACAGACACTTACATCTGTACCACATACTGAATGAAATGATGGCTCTACGGCGGTCCACTCCTGTTTGCCAGATCTGGGCCACAATTAAGCCATACCAATATCACATATCAGCTAGAATTTAACCAAATGAACCAGAACTGACCCTATTCTGGGCCACAGTTTGCTTTTATTCTGGCCCAGATCTGGCCTACACCTTACACTCGCTGGGTGTGGCAAAGTACAAAAATCCCAGCATGTTATTATGTTATTTCTAATAATGGATTAAACATTGGTCAACATCAGTGAATTATATTATTTCATCACAGGTTGTGCCTCACTTCATTATGTTGGCTTGAGAAAGCCAACATACTGTTATACTACTCTGTCCTTGAAAACAAACGTATCTCCTCCTAGGCCGTTCATGCCACAAGGCCCAAATGTGGTCAAAATGTGCCTTCTGCATTCAAGATTGTTGCTATATCTCCTCATGCCTATAAGACTTATCGTTTTTTTAATAAAAAATGTTTAATATTAAATTTTTATAACCCAGGCATGAAAAAAAATTATACAAGCCCCAAATTGGGCCAAAAGCTGTATTTAGATGCGTTAGATTTTGTTGCTATATCTTTAAGGTTTATCAGACTTATAGTTTTTCAATAAATAATTTTTAAGCATTATTTTTCTTAAAATATGGCAAGCCATTTTTGACTTAAACTCCATATTTTTTACTGATATGGCAAGCCATTTTTGCATGTATCACGTTCACACTTCTTAAGCATTGTATTTTCAAAAAAATACGGCAAGCCATTTTTACATAATGTTCATTCCCTTAGTCCCTTTATTAATCAGGGGTCGCCACAACGGAATGAACCGCCAACTTATCCAGCATTTGTTTTACACAACGAATGCCTTTCCAGCCGCACCCCAAGACCAGGAATACATAGCAACCATTTAAAAATAGCAATATCTCTACATCAGAACATCGTAGGGACCTGGGCATTGGCTTGTTTGACTCATGCTAGCAAATGGGACTTCCTGTGTACTATGCATGGTAACAATGATAATGGAAGCCAAGTGCTAATAACGATTAGCTACATGCTATGAATGATTATCTAAATGCAATAACATATGCTAGAAATGCCTACTAAGTATTAGCATTTAATCAAACATGTACACGAGCATTGCCATTAAGCAACTGCTTAGCAACCACCTAACAATGCCATAAACGTTTTAGCAACTGCCTAGCAACCACTTAGCAACCGCTGCCGTGCTTCCTGCCAACTGCCATTCCCAGTCCTAGCGTAGTCACGTTGGCTTTCTCAAGCCAACATCAAAGTTTATCAATGAACTTTAGGTTCTAGATTTATTTATTACCCATTTATCTACCCATATCAAACACACCTGAACCAATTAATTAGGACCTAAACACCACGTGATAATTACAGGCAGGTGTGTTTGATATAGGTTGCTACTGAAATCTGCAGGAAGGCGGCTCTCCGGGAACAGGGTTGGCCACCCCTGATCTAGTAGGAGTTTGATTAGCTGCTTCAGGTGTGTTTGATTAGGGTTGGAGCTAAACTCTCCAGGACACCGGCCCTCCAGGACCGAGTTTGGGCACCGCTGCTCTATACAGAGCCGACTTTTATCCTTTTGATTAGTATCATTTCTTTTGGGTTGTGCAATTTAATTAACAGAATTTTCGCAAAGTATGCTGTATACTGTAAACTTGCAGACTTTTTTGGTCACATCCATAACGCATGTTTATTTTCCACATTGAAAATATAAAAAATGTTTACAGATGTATATATTTCTGCTCCCACAACTCTGTGGCTAGTAGTTTTGATAAATATAAACAGATGTTTCAATATAATGTCAGCATATACTTCCTCTGTCAATTTATGCTGAGATTTTACTGCAAACGTCACATCCATAATGCTGGAATTGCTCAATAATGTCTTTAAAGTAATCTTTAACAAACCAAGGAAATTTTCACAGTATTACCTACAAAACAAAAAACACAGCCTTATTTCTTATAGTTTCTCTAAAATAAAATCAGTTTTTAATACAAAAAAAATATTATATTATTTGCCTCCTTAAGAAATATTTACTGTATATTTTTGGCCGGTGAGTGTGTATTTTCTAAAGAAAAAAATAGTTTAGGCTAAACCCTTTGAGATGTACCATCTCGTTTTCTCAATCACATAATAATAACAACAAAAAACACAATATAATAATAATCATATCATATGCTTGTCTCACTCTTTGGTTTGGACGTGTAAAAAGCGCATATCTGAGCTGAGCGTCTGAGCTGCAGGATGCTGGGAAAGAACCGTGTCGCTCATTTGCATCTGAACATCCAAACGTTTCAAAAAACGGTCCCACTCCACCTGTCACAGATAAATATTCATTCAGCACAACATAATCAAGACCACAGACTGCAAAAGATATGGACGTAGCATCTGTGACGTCACCCATAGGTTTCTGAAGAACCCAAAAGAAGCTACCAGTAGGCGTGGCCAAACGTTACTAATTTTTTTTACACATGTCATCGCACCAACTAGAGCATACCAAACAAGAGCAAAGAGGCGGAGCGTGAGCAGAGCTAAAGACGCCTGCTGGCATTTTGAGACTCTTACTTAATTAAAAAAGACATCCTCATATCTCTGTATCAGTCATAATAAACAATTAAAAAAATAACATTACTCACTTCCAACTGCAGTAAACCTTCAACACTTTCTCGGACCTCTGTATTTCTGTTCAATTGAAAAAGAGCCAAAATCAGATATACTACAATGCACACAAGACAATAAGACAATTGGAAAGGAATGAATTTATATTAAGGGTGTCACGATCCTCCAAATCCTCGATCCGATTACATTTTTTATTCTAAAGGCACGATTCGATTCGATTTTCGATTATGAATAATTAATTAATTAATTAATGACCAATTCATTATTTGTAGCCTACCGTTTAAACTACCTGACCTGCATGGTCTTTGTTTTACCCATAAACAAATCATACAGTAAATGAATAAAGGCACGATACACACATAATTACCACCTGTCAATCACTTTTTCTGCGTGACTTGTGATAATCGAAATTGAGCATAAATTTCGATCGATTTCGATTTTTAATGAGGTGACACCCCTAATTTATATTATTCTGTTAATTACATATAAGTACTTATAAAAGAATTTAATTCATTGACTGATACTTATTGAATCATGACAGTTGTCTGAGACATCGGTTCAGACATTTGACCACCTAATGTGTGAATAAACAACAAATCAAAATCAAGTATTCCAGGGGATGTTATTTCCATACTTACTGAAAGAAGCGTTCCCATAAACTTTCTGCCTCCTTCTGGTTTTTCACACCCAGACTGAAAGAAAACAATCATATCATGGAAAGGAGTTAAAATTTTGTATGTATGTGTTTGTGTGTGAACGAACGAATGAAAGCAAACAAACATGAATTACTTGGCACCGTTTAAAATAATACACACCTGTTACAGAACTTTGCCCCTGCTGACATCAGGCCAAGTAAAGGAAGAACTTTCCCATTAACTTCTTGTAAAGTACATCCTAAATAACAACATTAACAAATACAATTTGTCATGGTAAAAGTGAATTATATATGTACAGTTTAAGTCAGAATTGTTAGCCCCCCTTTTGTTTTTATATATATATATATATATATATATATATATATATATATATATATATATATATATATATATATATATATATATTTCCTAAATGATGTTTAATAGAGCAAGGAAATTGTCACAGTATGTCTCATATTATTTTTTCTTCTGGAGAAACTCTTATTGGTTTTACTTCGTCTAGAGAATAAAAGCAGTTTTAATTTAACACCGTTTTAAGGTCAAAATTATTAGCCCCTTTAAGCTATAGGTTTTTTCGATAGTCTACAGAACAAACCATCATTAATAACTTGCCTAATTACCCTAACCAGCCTAGTTAACCTTATTAACATAACTTTAGGCCTTCAAATGACACTTTAAGCTGTATAGAAGTGTCTTGAAAAATATCTAGTAAGTATTACTTTACTCTCTCACTGACTGTAAACACAGGTGCGCGCAGTAGCTAACGTACAAACATGCTTACAGTAACTAACAGGAAAGAAGCTAAAATGTTTTAAGATACCATTCGCAGTGTCTTTCTCCACATATTCCAGCGATGTTCTACCAAATATAGTGAGTTCTTTTAGAGCGCCTACGAGTGTGCTTTCGTCTACTTCAGCCATGACACAAACACTGCAGTCCACTTGACATTTAGCAGATCATGCGAGTGCGGAATCACAGAAACTAAACGGTGATTGGATGATCGTTATCAGCGCTGAGAAAAGTAGCAGACCACACATGCCATTGTTGTGCCGTTTTACAGCGGTGTTAGAATCATAAGTCTGCATAATAACGCTGAAAAAGTAATGAAAAATATTATTGATAATAAAATACACTAACTTGAATATACACAGTTACAAGGTTTAAACATTTTTTGTTATTGTTACTAGTAGTATGGCCTACTAAAAACAGCTATCGGTACACCTAGTGGATGACTTAAGTAGCGCGTATTTACAGTCGCCTTCATGCAGGACAACTTGATTTGGTCACCAAAAACAAGCACAAAAGACAACACACTGGTTTCATTGAACTGATTTTATTGACTGTGGCTTTTTCATCAGTCAGAGATTTTCTATCTTCAAGTTTTTCTTTTGTGCGTTAAACAACCCACCTCCATTTCCTCATGAAAAAACAAAACAAAAACAAAACAAGCCACTGTTCTTAAATTTTCACAGGAAAATAAAGCCATACAGCACCAACCATGACAGGATTAAGAAAACAGAAAGCCTACTTAAAATGGTCCCTTAAGAAGATGCTAAAATAAGGATTTATTAGATTAAGGTAATTTAAGATTTTTAGTCAACTGTCGATTGAGCTGCTGTTCCCAGTGTTTAAGATCACATGAACATCTCCACAATCTGATATCCGCATGTATTTCAGTTGAGCCATTAAATAAAGACAACAATAAGATTGATGAAGAAGCCAGTGTGGACAGTGAACCTGGTAAAAATACCAACTTCTGTCTTTCAAACAACAAAAACATTCGCAAAACATCGTTCCCCACTGTGTTCAAGTATTCAGAAAGAAACTCGTAGCTGAAAAATATTGCTTGATATTCTCTTCAAAGGACACCTCTGCCACAAGTCACCGATATGTTTCTAAAACCACCTCCAAAAAATAAAAATAAGTCAGTGTAAGCAACTGATAAATAATATTATAACAAATAATAAAAGCTTTCCAATCATATTCTGCTACATTTCCTGCTGCTTTTAAAACTCAGATTATGCTCGCAACTGCTTGTTTTTCAATGAAATCATCGACTCCAATACAAATGTACATTTAATTTAAAATTAACAAAACAGCTGTCTTTCCATGTTCATTGGAATGAAAGCTAAAAACAAAGATAAAATGTACTGATATTCGATATGTAAAAGCCACATAAAAGTGAGAACTGTGAGCAAAGATGCCCTGAGTAGAGATGGCCCTTATTATTTTATTTACTTTTTTTTGTTGTATTTTTTAATAACTAAATAGTTTTTCAAGTTTAAGATTTTTTAGGACAGTGCGAAGATGAGTCTGTGTTTAGGACTTCAATCATGGTCCTTGTTAACTGGAACGTCTCTGAAACCGATGGAAGGTTCTGGTACCAACTTGGCAAGCTGGAAGGAGAAAAAAAAAAACTTTTTAAAAAAAGAAAATATTAACAGTTTCTTGCATTTTTTTGTAAACGGGTCTTTGAAATCACAACTGTGATGCATTGGAAGGTTATGGAGCCAGATCAGCCTCAAAAATAATACATTTCCAAAATATAATTCATATGCGCAACGCAATTTACATGTACAAAATCCAATTCGTAAGTTCAAAACACAATTCAAAAACACACAAATCCAATTTTTGAATTCAAAATACGATTAAAAAAAAAACCACAAATCCAATTCGTATTTTCAAAAACACACAAATCCAATTCATAAATTAAAAAAATACACAAATCCAATTCGTATTTTCAAAAACACAAATCCAATTCATAAATAAAAAAATACAAATCCAATTCGTAAATTAAAAAATACACAACCCCAAATTAATAAATTAAAAAATACACAAATCCAATTCGTAAATTAAAAAATACACAAACCCAATTCGTAAATTAAAAAATACACATCCAATTCGTAAATTAAAAAATCCAATTCGTTAATTCAACACAAGATTCAAAAACACACAAATCCAATCCGTAAATTCAAAAAACAAATATCCAATTTATAAATTCAAAACACGATTAAAAAAACACAAATCCAATTTGTAAATTCAAAAATGCACAAATGCATTCGTAACTTCAAAAAAGACCAATCCAATCTGTAAATTCAAAAAAAGACAAATCCAATCTGTAAATTTAAAAATAAAAAAATCCAATTCGTAAATTCAAATACACAAATCCAATTCATAAATTCAAAAATAAAAAAATAAAATTCGTAAATTTAAAACAATAAAAAAAAAAACACAAATCCAATAACTTAATTCAAAAATACACAAATCCAACACGTAAATTCAAAACCTGATTCAAAAATGTGCAAATCCAATTCGTAAATTCAAAAAACACACAAATCCAATTCATGAATTCAAAAATACAATTCGCAATTATATTTTTTACAATTGCGAATTGTGATTAAAAAAAATTTACAAATCCCATTCGTAAGTTTAAAACACAATTCATATTATACACAAATCAAAATTGCTTTGGCAAAAGTATTTATGATTTTTACTTGTGAATTCACAAATTGTGTATTGAATTTATAAAATGTGTTTTGAATTTACAATTTTAATTTAGTAAATGTGCATTGTGTAATTATTTGGTAAATGTATTATTTTTGAGATTGATCTGGCACCAAAAAGGCTTGTTGCATTATTAAGTTGTTCCATTGGTTACGTTTTTAAGTACCTTTTTAAGTTCATCCAGCTTTTGACGGTTTTACTGAAGCGATCTGGACTGGCTGTTGTCATGGCCTCAAAGTCAAACAGCTGGATAACCAACAAGAAGATGTTATGCATTACAACAAACACTTTAAGTAACTGCTGGTAAAATATTGAGCTTTATTACATTATTTATGTCTTTACCTTTCCAGATGGAATTCGGCCGAGCACCTCTTTGCCACTGGCCATCAGAGCTCCCATGACCACTGAATACGCCACGACACTGAAGGAGTAACAGAAATTTTAAACACACAAACAGCACAAACTCCTGTGAAATATGAAGTAGCTCTGAAAATAATGTGCTGTCACCATAGAGTCGGTATAATATTGAAATCTAATGTTCAAACTAGAGCTGGCTGGTTTGAATTGCATATATATTTAAAGGTTTTTGCATTTGTTTTTCTTAAACAGGAATAATGTACAACAAATGTGTAATTTACAGTAAGCTCAATCTATTATCGATGCAAAACTCTTGCTGTTTAACTGTTGCTGTGTCCTAAAAACGCTGTACACATCAATGCGAGAGGAATAATGACATGCCTCAATGTGTTCCAGAGTTTCTCACCAGAGGGAGTGACATCCCTTGGAGTAAGTCGCATGCTTTTTACATTAGTGGTTTTTAGGGATGTAACGGTATCAGAATTTCTTGCTGAGATAATACCTCGGTATTACGGCACGGTACGGTATTTATTGAATAATTTACAGGAAAAACAAAACTAAGGAAAAGACTCGAAAAAAGTGCCAAAAGTGTTTATTTACCTTAGCACTGAACATATCAATGACATACAAATTAGCCATCTATCTGTAAGTTTCGAACAGGAACTTCAATTTTTCAATTTTAATAACAAAAAACTATTAAACCATATTAAAAAATAAAGTTTCAATTTAGTATTGTTGAAAACTCATCACATTCAACAATTAATCACTCACTCACTAAGATAGAGATGGGTTATTTAAGGAAAATGATCATATAACTATAATCTGGTAAAAGCTGGGATCTCTGAGCATGTCCCCTGCAACAGAAAAAAAAACCCCTCTCATTTGGGACTGAGGTTTCTGGGACAGAGAGATATGATTTAGTCAAGGTTGACAGCAGTGGGTAACGCTGTGCATTGTCTTTCCACCACTTGAGAGGACAAGCCATGAGTGAGATAGAGGTCTCTTTGCGGTACAAGTCAATGTCTGCATCAATCTAACAAGTGTGCTGTGTTCTGCAGTCCCCATGACTATTTTTAGTCGTATTCCCCGACTTACATTTCACCACAGTCTGGCAGTGCCTGCATACCGTTTTTTTCTTTGTCTGTCACCTTTTCTCCTTTTTCGTATCTTTTTAGAAAGAAACCGAAACGCTTCCACACATCCGATTTAAAACCCGCTTTAGGTTCCATCATTTCCAGCTCTTTTTCTTCCCCGCTACTAGCAGCACACTCCATTTCAGCATTACTGGATCTGTAGTGCCAACAGACTGCAAAGGATGATGGCCACGCCTGGGCTGATGGGAATTGTAGTTCCCGCTACCTCCCGTTCGCTTCATTCGCCTAAGCAAACATTTCTCAGAAATATAGTTTTATTGAGTCATGCGCCTACGGTAATATTGAAAAAAATAACTATTGCGATACGACGGTATTTACAATATCGTTACATCCCTAGTGGATTTATAGATGCGTTTTTACAACTGATGTAACAGAGTTGACCAGACCACGCATTTTCTTACCTGGAGCCTCTGGATAGTGGCATGAGGTTACAGAAGTAATACACCAGGGAAAGAATCAAATTGCACACAGCATCTGCATCCTAGAAAGAAACAGATAATCAAGAGATTACTAACAGAATATGATAGAATATCAAAACATACTAAAAATATTTATTTTTGTTGGAGGAAATGTGGGGTAAAAGAGGCACATCATGCGCATATATTCAAACAAAAATCAAATCAAATCAGGCCTTTATTTGTCACAGACACCTTCGTATAGTAATCAAACTTGCTCAAACTTTGCTTTGACCAGATTTGTTCGTAAATACATCATTTTAAGTTTGTCGTTTCATTTTGTTGAGGTATACCAGGTCCTGAACAGTGTACCGTAGATGTGTAGAAGAATGTTATGATCAAAAAGATCCAATTCTGCAGTCAAGTCCAGAAGGATAAGATGGAGATCCACCAGCAATCCATAGATAACTTGTGATCATCAGGGGCCTCATTTATCAACGCTGCATACGCATAAAAACTTAGCGTACGCCAGGTGTCACACTCACGCTTGGATTTACTAATGATAAAATTAACGTGAGTGTGCGTTGGTCTGTGCCACCTTCATGTCTGGCGTACTTGAATTTCTTGTGTGTGTTTGTTTTATTTCAATTGGCGACTCCTGGAGGCAATTTATTGCACACTACTAAGAATTGCACCAACACATGTAAAAAACATTGCTATTAATTTATAATTGATAAAATGGGTTAATTGACATAATAATTGTTTGACCAATTATGTGATTTAGAACATATAAAAGCATTTGGCGAGTCAGTGGCGCAGTAGGTAGTGCTGTCGCCTCACAGCAAGAAGGTCGCTGGTTCGAACCTCGGCTCAGTTGACGTTTCTGTGTGGAGTTTGCATGTTCTCCCTGCCTTTGCGTGGGTTTCCTCCGGGTGCTCCGGTTTCCCCCACAGTCCAAAGACATGCGGTACAGGTGAATTGGGTAGTCTAAATTGTCCGTAGTGTATGAGTGTGTGTGAATGTGTGTGTGGATGTTTCCCAGAGATGGGTTGCGGCTGGAAGGGCATCCGCTGCCTAAAAACTTGCTGGATAAGTTGGCGGTTCATTCCGCTGTGGCGACCCCGGATTAATAAAGGGACTAAGCCGACAAGAAAAGGAATGAATGAATAAATAAAAGCATTTGCAAATGTATACAACCCTTAGTCCATGACAATGGCAGTGTTGGCCTTATTAGAGCACAATGTCAATGGTCGAATTCGAAGGGAACAAATTTTTTAAGGGATCACAGTGATTTTCTGGCCCATGATGATGACTGCCTTATTAGCCTTTTCAGATTTCCAAGAGCTACGTCACATTCACCGTGTGCACCGAGTTCAATAACAAGAAAGCTAATTGGCTAATGCATGTTGGTCTCATTTGCAAATTACATTAGGACTAGTGAAATAAAGAACTACAACACCATAAAAAAACCAAGCAACAACAGAATTTAAATGAGCATTAGATGTAGCGTCTCATAGATATCGGAAAAATAAGACCTGTGCAAAAATATTTAAGACCTAGAACAGCAAATTTAAGATTTTTGAGGCTTAAAAATTTTAATTTTTAAAATTTAGACTTTTTAAGACCCCGCGGAAACCAGAGTCAGGTCCATAAATATTGGGACATGGACACAATTCTACCATTTGTGGCTCTGTACACCAACACAATGGATTTGAAGTGAAACGATCAAGATGTGCTTTAACTGCAGACTGTCAGCTTTAATTTGAGGGTATTTACATCCAAATCAGGTGAACGCTGTAGGAACTATGACAGTTTGCATATGTGCTTCTCACTTGTTAAGGATCCAAAAGTAATTGGCAATTCATTCATTTATTTTCTTTTCGACTTAGTTCCTTTATTAATCAGGGGTCGCCACAGCGGAATGAACTGCCAACTTATTCAGCATATGTTTTACACAGCGGATGCCCTTCCAGCTGCAACCCATCTCTGGGAAACATCCATACACACTCATTCACACTCATACACTACGGACAATTTAGCCTACCCAATTCACCTGTACTGCATGTCTTTGGACTGTGGGGGAAACACCCGGAAGAAAACCCACATGTACGCGGGGATAACATGCAAACTCCACATGAAAACGCCAACTGACAGCACTACCTACTGCGCCACCGCGTCAACTAATTGGATAGAATAATAATCAGAAATCAAACTTTCACGTTTTAATACTTGGTTGCAAATCTTTTGCAGTCTTATACGGAAGTCAAGGACACATAGACATCCCCGGACGCTGCGCTTCATCCCTGGACGTGCTCTGCCAGGCCTCTACTAGGCCTCTTCAGTTCCTGCTTGTTCTAGGAGCATTTTCCCTTCAGTTTTGTCTCAAGCGGATTCAGCTCATGGGACTGACTTGGCCATTGCATAACATTCCACTTCCTTCCTTTTGATACTTGGACCTGACTGTATGTGTGTGTGATCACATTCTGGGGACCAATATGTCCCTCAATATAGCAATACCAGTGCATTTTGACCTTGTGGGGACATTTTTTAGTCTGTACAATATAAACATCTATGGGAAATCCTCCTAGAGATAGCCGTTCATGTTCATGTTCGTGTTTATGTGTGTGTGTGTGTGTGTGTGTGTGTGTGTGTGTGTGTGTGTGAGAGATAAGATACGCAGGTCACAGAACTCCCATAATTCTCTGTATAACAGGTCAGACAGGTGTAGATACCAGAGCCGTGAGCCTCGCCGCGGGACTGTGTTTACGTGACCCTGGATCGATTTGCTTTAGGAGACGTGACTAAAGAGCACATGCTAGTCACGCTAGACATGCTACAGAAATCAGCGAGAGACGGACAGACAGAGATGACCTTACCCCCAGTTCAGTGGAGAGCATCAGAGCTTTGCCTTTCGCCGTGAGGTCCTTATAAAGCGCTTCGATTTCAGACTGATACTGCTGCGTCCTCTCATCTGTGGTCTGCGTTTCTACTGAAAACAGCATATTCCCCACTCTAACACACACAAAGGCACACACAAACATTAGCATTAAACACAAAATAAAGCTCAAAATGCTAAGCAACAACAAGCTACTCTACTACTGAAGCTATCTTATTTAGATTTAAAAACAAAAGCAGGTTGCTAGCATGCTTTAATAGTGGTTACGTGATTTTACTTGAGCATTTGTGAAAGTGTATGTAGTTTAAACGTTAATAAATTACAGTTGTTAGCATGTTGCTAGCAGGTATTTAACACATTGATAACATGATTTAACTAGTCTCTAACATGTTGTTAGCATGTTTTAACATTAGCTACCTGACTTGTTTCTACCCTAGTCTAACAGGCTAGTTTTAATCTAATGTCTATAGTTTATAATGGATTAGGGTTATTATGGCTTTAACAGAAATTACATTGATTTAAATGGAAACTAGAGGTCTGCATTCCAGCGGCTGTACCGCGGGACCCGACCAGATTTCTTGCGGCGAGGGAATACATTTTCGAATAAAGCGCAGGAGCGGTCGGGAACTGGTGTATTTTAAACGGGAGTGGGTGGTCAAACACTAGCCCCTTTCACACTGTGATACCGGTAAATTTCTGGAAAATTTCCGGAACGACTTTACTGGTATATTGAAAAAAGCGCTGTTCACACAGGCGAGGACGTTACGGAAATTTTCCGGAAATGAGCATTCACACATCCATTCCAAAATACCGGTAAATTCTGACATCATTCACCACAAATGAGCTTTAAACGGCTGCGCTTGTATTTGTAAACATTTGACTAAATTACAAACTCTGTGGATGATCAATATTGTGAACAACTTTCGCAGGATCACTTTCGCATGTCGAGATGTTCATAATATGTGCGTGTGCAGGCGCTCATAGGCGCACGCAAAGCTTGAAGGTAAACAAACAACGGCTTATCATAAGCATCTTATCGATGATTATTTACACACTTGGCATTAAGAAGAACATATAAACGTGATCTGACTAACTTCTAGCAGCTAAATGTGTCTGGAAAAATATTCAAAGGTTTTTATTCTCACAAACCGCGCGGACGTAAATGCGTCTGACTGTTGTGATTGGCTAAAGCAGATGTCTCACGTCAGCACTTTCTAGACGTGCACGCGCTTATTACGGCAATCTTCCTTCTGCATTCACACAGCGCAGCATTCCGGCAAATTACCGGTAATGTTACAACTTCTCTTTCCGGAAAATAGCCAGAACGAATTTACCGGTATTTTCAAAAAGGACCTGTTCACACATTCAACCTTTCCGGAAAATTGCCGGCAATTTTCCGGAAAGGTCTGTATGTGTGAAAGGGGCTAATATCGCTCCCGACTCCCTAGCAGTTTGAGACCCCTGTTATAGATTAATTAGATGATGAATGTGGTTTCTGTATCTGTGGTTACACTCTGTAAACAGTGGTAAGTTCGGTGGAATGATGACCTTTACAGCCAATCACAGTCATTTCTGTTGAGCATGTGAACACAATCGTCAATAAGCGCTGTTTAAGAACCAATGGGCAACCTCCCGCTCTCACTTGGGAAGCCAATACGGAAGTAACTGAAACTGCAATTCATTGAAATTCCGCTAGTCCTGGCACTATAATAGAGCACATTTCTATTGAGATCCAAAGTTAAAATGGCCAACTTTACAGCAGAAAAAAGGTGTTTACAGCCTGGTACAAAGAACCATTCTTGTGTATATATTGCTAATTTTACCCTTCATGATAACTGTGAGGGGGTGATTTTTTTATAACTCATCTGTTTCTTTTATATTAGGTTTAAATAAGTTTGCATAATTAAGGGCGTGGCCACTTGAGTGACAGCTAGGTCTCGCTGGTCGCCGTTACTTCACCTCAGCTGATTCCGGCTGATTAGCCGCTGAACTCGGCGCATACATCATATTTCTGTATTGTTTTATGTGGCTTTACACAGTCAGTTGCCTTTTTGGGATTATTTCCTCCAATTATCAGATGATATGGCGTGCTGTGTGCACTTAATTGTGCTTACAATTCATTCACCTGGCCTCGATTTCTCAAGTGAGCGAAATTACATAAGTATTATACTATTTCTATGAATGTATTTGTTTTATTTTAGATTATTTATCATTCATATTTTTCTTTAGACCTGTAATGCACTCCAGAATCGAATTTAAAACAAATGTTATCGTGTTTAGTGTAAAACCAAGTCAAAATGTGTTCTCTATAAAGTATAGCCAAATAAAGAACATACAGTGGAGTATAAGAAAAACTCTTTGTCTATAAAGGAGATGCCCAAACTAGGGCCTGCAGGCCAAAGTTGGCCCATGGTAACCTTTGATTTGACCCACCATCCCAACTGATAAGAGAGGAAGAATGTTGGGGATGTTCTTTACAAATGTACATACTGTCACCCGATGGATAGAGGATGATGCAGAGAGTGAATCAAGGCAAAGGCATGTTCTGCTTGTGTATTCAACAATGAACTCCACTGTGTCATAAATGGGATTGTTTATGTTTTTAATGTAACAAGTTACAATTAAAATGAGTTATACGGCATTAGTTTATATGATTGAAAGTGATGTTTTCTATATACTTTTAAATATTTTGAAATAAATTATGACATTACGCATGGCAACTTTAATGTAAAATGGTTAATACATTTATTTTCAGCCCACAGCTCTCAATGACTGGTTTTGGCCCTTCTCAGGAAAACGTTTGAGCACCCCTGGTCTATAAAGTCTCAATTAAAAATACACTAAGGAACATAAACATTGAAGATATGACACATATGAAAGTTCTCACCGGTCTCCAGTGATGGTGATTGTAAATCCGTCATACTCTTTCCCAGGATCCTTCAGACTGGGCACTTTGGAATTGACCGTAAAGCCGTCTCTGGTTTTACTGTTGAACTGCTTCAGATATCAAAACAAACACAGAAACGTTTAAGAGAAGCACTCCATCTGTCTTCATGTGGTTAACGAGAACTCGCATATGTGTTTCTAAATAAATACATCAATGCAAAAACACAATTATAGGTGTGAAATGCCAAGCATAATTGTAAACAGGCAACGACGAGTGTTTATTAACTGTTCATAGTACTCATAAAATTGGCTTCATCCAAGAACACACACATTCATAAAGCTCGAGTCGAGGATGTTGATTTTCAGATGAACAGTTTGAAGTTCCCAAAAAAGACAACTATATTTTATTAACAATTAATCTGAAATATATACAAACTGTATAAAAGGAGAGACTGACAGAAAAAAAAGAGGAAAAGATCAACTCAATTTTTTTTTAAATGCTACACTAGCTATTTACTCCCCTTGTATTTAAAGGGGTCCTATAGACTGATTTCATGTAGCCACCATTTTAAAAGTGAAAGCGAGGCTGTGGTGGGAAGAAACCCGGAAGTATCGCCTGGGCCCGGTTTTTCAAAAGGTTTAATCCAGATAAAATTGATCCGAATTTAGTAATCCAGCTTACTTTTTGAGGCAGTTTTTCAAAGCAACATCGGATTGAATCGATCTGATTCGGATGGAAACTTTTCAGGGTCACTAAATCTGGATAGCCAGTGCTCAAACAGGATAGGAAACCACAATGTAGAACTATAGATATGTAAAGAGCAGCATGTGGAATAGCCAGTGTGGGGTCAATAAAACTTTATTTTTATTTGAAATAAAAACACACATTTAAAATAAAAATAAAAACTAAAAACAAGAAAAACCCCAACCCATCCTCTTCCAGCAGTCCGCTCATCTGAGATCTACAACACAAACACTGTACACTGAGGATATTTATAACAAGTTTCAAATATAGATGTATTGAATAAAAAAAAAGACTTAATTTCAAAAACTCAATAATTTCAGACTTCCTCATCTGATGAGGAGAGACCAGCTCGTCTGAGCGTAGCCTTTAAGAGGGGGATCTCAAGTCTGGCCTTGGTTTGCTGCAGTTTGGTCAGAGTCTGTTGTTCCTCTGCCAGATGAAGCTGTGCTTCTGCCCGTTCAGTCTCTTTTTGCAATTGTTAAAAGTGATTTTAAAAAATCTGTGATTGTATTCTTTGCAGTTTGTTGGTTATTCTGTAATGATGTAATGATTTAAATAAAAAAATGTTAAAATCATTTAGTGACAGAATAAAAGGTATTGTTTTTGGTCAATTTTGACAGCTGTTTGGGGGATTATTTTATCAGGCCAAACTCTCTCTACTTTGTTGTAGGCCTGTACTGAAAGGCTGAACATGTTAAAGCCTACCTAATCACTGTAGCCTGGCGGATGAACAAATGCAATTAAAACCTTATTAATAAATAGGATATCTTGTAAGATACTGCATGATCCAAATATGGTAATATTTGAAACATTTTTAAAGTTTTAATTACATTTTGTGCATGAAATCCACGCAGAATTCATATGCTGATTCAGTGCATACCGGTTACAAAGGCATGGCACAGAGTTTCCGTACACAACCCTAATAGTGACATCAACAAATCGACATAAACACAATAAAAAAGGGTGAGAAATAAAAAATAAATAAATCATTACAATCGGGAACTACTAATCCTTGTTGGAGGAACTGCGGGGTAAAGGAGGCACATCATGCGCACATATTCTGGCAGTGCTCAAGAATTGATAAGTTTTTGAGAAATGATGCACTCCGCCATTAATCAAATTTTTTATCTACATATTCTTAGTTAATTTGAAGTACTTTATCTGGGAGATACTCCTATTAATCTTAAAAAGGAAGATAGAGATCTATTTAAGATATTCTTGGCAACAAGTAAAAAAAGCTATAACCCAGAAATGGTATAAAGAAGAGCCAGCAACTAAAGACGAATGGTTCAATATTATAGCATAAGTTGAGGAAATGGAAAAAATGACACATGCACTTTGATTACAATTAGAGACCTTTGATAAGAAATGGAGTAAATGGCTGACGTTCTCCTCAACGGCAATATAATTATGTATAATTGAACATTTACATAATTCTAAAGGTTATGTATAATTGTGAAAATATGTTTGGCAACTTTTTATTCTATTTTTTAATTTATACTTATTTATTTTTCTATTTTGATGAGGTTAATTTAATGTTTTTATGCATGTATGTATATGGAAATACATGTGTGGAATGGATGTATTTGCCTATATAGGTCTGTATACATTAGGGTTGGGCATCTAAGCTATAATGCCGATCCGATACGCATCTCGATACAAAGAATACGATCCGATATATTAGCGATACATTTGTGACATATTGCGATGCAACACGATACGATTCACACCCATATCACGATACAATGCGATAATTCAGCACTAACTTATTAGATCAAGTTTATGAGATGATGTAAGAAAGGATGCTGTGCCATTGAATGAGTTTGATTATTTATTAACCAAGCAAAACCATGACTTATTTTACAAACTGGCTTTTCTCTCAGAGCCAGAGTGTCAGTTTAGGGCCATTTTAGAACCTATAGCACATATTATTTAAGGATTTTCAAGATAAACAGAATGTATAAGAGCAATATATATTAAAATATATATATTTATTTGCACTCTTTCAACATAAAGGTTTAGCATTGCACAACAAGAATTGTGATTTAACCTTTCAACTATGAAAACAAGTTTTACAAAGATATATTGTGCCACTGAATATTCAAAACTTAAGGTGGTGAACTAGCAGTGTTATGCTGCTTTGAAACATCACTGTCACTGTAAACAACAGGTAAATAAAAACAATAAAAATATAAATAAATAAAAATTAACAGGAGATGTTTAAAACCTTCGTTCTCCGTGACACTAGGCTGAATATCTTTGCAGATGAACAATGCAATAGCTTTTGTTATTGCCGTAGAGCGCACAAAACTGTTGCGCATGGAGAAAACTTTCGATGCTTTTCTCACCACTTTTGGAGCTGGTAGCTACAGTTGAAGCAGAGCAGGAAGCAGGGGTTGCAGGGACACTGGAAGATGCTTCCACAACAACACCGTGGCGCCGCTTCAAGTGAGATATCAGATTAGTACTGCCCGCGTATTTTACAGATGCGCGGCACATTTTGCAAATTGCATCTGTCCTAAAAAGTCGTCCATCCTTTTTGCAGAATCCATAATGTTGCTATACTTTAGATTTAAAACTCAGTGAGGAATAAAATGTTTGTTTTGCTTCTCGCGCTTTCTGAGGGCGCACCACTAGCTTCATCCGCACACCTGATACACTGAGTTGTAGTGTAAGTGTACACATCCGCAAGTCCGTTGCTAAGGCTTACTTTATGTAGGTCGATTAAATTATGCGCCAAAAACAGGTTGACAACACTTGCTAATAAATAAAAAATACATTCTATATTAAAAATATAAGCTGTATCTTGGAAAAACCGATGCATCTCGCAAAAACTGATGCATCTCGATTTGCTTCCAAAATTTCATTCATCCTCTGCTGCTCTACCGATGCACTCGCATCGTGCACGTGCATGACCGCGTATCGATACATATCGGTTAATCTTCCCATCCCTAATATACATATGTATGTTTATGTATATTTATGTATATATGTCTTATTTTTTATTTGCTTGTTTTGTTCCCACTGGTTATATGTTCCTAAAATAATCAATAAAAACTAAGTAAAAAGTTTGATTTTAGTCAATGTCTTCTTTAAATATTTAATGGCTGCTGATATGAAATATTTTTCAATCGGTTAGTTTGATACTAAAATCTTGCAACCGGAAGGAAGAAGTGTAGGGGATGAGCGGTGTCACCTACGATTTGGTTTGTAATTCTCTTTAGCTGCCTGGTGTACACAGCCACCACACTGGCCAGTGATACCCCAGTCAGCTTACTGGACCACTTAACTATCTGATTTAGTGTGTTTTTATTCTTACCAGAAAAGTTCCCAAATCACAACACCAAAAACATGAAGTCAAGTTTTTTTTACTACTACCTGCAACATTTACCACACAAGTTAATGGTTAAGATAACAGTTAAACGAATGGTTAAAAGATAACATTGATTAAAAGATTTTATTCAAGTAGCTGTAAAACTCTCACTTTAATGCTCATGTTACCTTCATAATTGGAAGCAAATCCTCCACTTTATTTACATTTTCCAGAGCCTGTTTTACTTCCTGCAGCCCCCGCGGGTTATACGCCCTGGTGGAAAGAAGACACAATTAAGAAAATCAATAAAGCGAATAAATTCCTGAATAATATCGGGGATAAAAGTTCTATGGGAGATTGGGTAAATGGTTGAACAAGCTAAATGTGCAAGTAAATTAATCAATTATGTCTGTGTATATGAATTAACAAAAAAAATGTTTACTTCTTTACTAGTTGAAGCAGGGGTCACCGTTCTCGTTCCAGTAGGTCGGGTGCCCTGCAGGGTTTAGCTCCAACTTGCCTCAACACTCCTGCCTGGGTGTTTCAAGTACACCTAAGACCTTGATAAGCTTGTTTAGGTGTTTGATTAGGCTTGGAGCTAAAATCTGCAAGACACCAGCCCTCCAGGAACAAGTTTGGTGACCCCTATAAAATAAAAAAAAACTAATTAATTTAAACAAATTTAAAAAAAATAATTTAAACAAGGTAATCATAAGAAGTGAATGGTAAGATCACAATTATTTAGACAGTTTAAACTCTAATGCTGCGTTCACACCAGACGCAGACGAAGCGTCAAACGTAAGGGATTTGCATGTAAAGTCAACGCAAAGACATGAATAGACATCCTGTAGCACGGGTTGCACGAATGAAGCGGCACGTATTGAGCATTTTGCACGTTTGACCTGCTTAACGCGCAAATCGTGTGAGTTGAAAAACTTTAGCGGACATTCGCACTGAATTAACCAATCAAAAGCTTGCTCTTGTAGGGCGCGATTATGACATAGCACTTGCAGTTAGTGTCCCGAGGGGAAATCCTACTGCCGACACCGGACAACAGTTTATCAACTTGGGTTTGGCTCAGTGAGAAGCACAGCTGACAGCTTCCATCATCCAGGTATAGTTAATGCAGTGGGTGCACCTCTGAAATCATAATCTAATGCAGTGGTCCCCAACCACCAGTCCGCGGACCGGTCCCGGATATATAATAAATTTAATATATAAACTCTGTACCGGTCCGTGGAAGAATTGGTACTGGGCCACATAAGAAATCATAAATTATTTCTGTAGAAAATATTCCCCCCGCGACTTGGTTTCTTCCACTCACCCCCACCATCTCACGTGAAATGGACTATGCCAAAATCCACCACGGAGCGGGAAGAATGATCGCTAGAATATAGCTCATTGGTGGTTGTTGATAGTTTAATGTTATAAAACGGGTATTATCCCGTCCAAATCAGCAGAGCATTTAAGGATTGTGCATATAACGTTATGTGTGCGTGCTTCGCTAAGCAAGTACCCAAAATCATTGCAATATGTATCTATATGGAGTTTCACATAATCAGACTCATTAGGGCTGTAACATGCCAGTGCATACATTTAATTCGGCTATACGGTTGTATTATGGTTAATATGTTCGTCAGTTGAGATGTTCGGCACAGATGTTATGTATTTGATGCATATAAACCTTGATTGAAACATAATCAGTGCAACTAGCGCATGCGCACTGAGTTGTTTATGATCAACCTGGATGCACGAGCGCAGCAGCTGTGTTCATGTGAAGACCCACCCACCCTCCACCGCACAACGGTCCTTTGTAAAATTGACAATCGTTGACCGGTCCGCGGTGATAAAAAGGTTGGGGACAACTGATCTAGTGGACTCAGACATGGTGCCGAACCAATCTACACTGTTTTTCAGCCTTTCTAAATCACATAAACACTGCTACTCTGTCAATAAAATCCATGTTAGCCATTTAGCAACGAAGCTAGAGTCACCAGGCAGACAGAAGCCCTGCCCATGATGAGAATCTGTGTCTATTGTTAAATGATTTTCACGCGCGAATGAATAACCTCAAAATGTTCACCTATTCATGCGCAAATAGCGCAATTACGTAGCTCAAGACGTGTCTGGTGTGAACACAGCTTAAGAAACTAAAATTAGTGTTGTCCTATTTGATAAAATGCGGAGTGAGCGTTGCTCAAAAACATTTATTATTATTATTATTATTATAAACATTAAAAAAAGATATTCAATGTCATATTTTGTGGAATTCTTAGATTATTAGGTGATTTTATTAAATGTGCAAATTAATAAATAGATAAAGTTCAAGTCAGAATTATTAGCCCCTCTTTGATTTTTTTTCTTCTTCTTTTTAATATTTCCCAAATGATGTTTAACCGAGCAAGGAAATTTTCACAGTATGTCTGATAATGTTTTTTCTTCTGGAGAAAGTCTTATTTGTTTTATTTCGGCTAGAATAAAAGCTGTTGTTAATTTTTTAATAAACATTTTAATGACAAAATTATTAGCCTCTTTAAGCTATTTTCTTTCGACAGTCGACAAAACAAACCATCATTATACAATAACTTGGCTAATCACCCTAACCTGCGTAGTTAACCTAATTAACCTAGTTAAGCCTTTAAATTTCACTTTAAGCTGTATAGAAGTGTCTTGAAAAATATCTAGTCAAATATTATTTACTGTCATCATGGCATAGAGAAAATAATAAAAATAATAAAATCGGCTGGGTTAGTTGGCATTTCTGTGTGGAGTTTGCATGTTCTGTCCGCGTATGCATAAGTTTCCTCCAGGTGCTCCGGTTACACCCACAGCCCAAAAGACATGCAGTACAGGTGAACTGGATATTCTAAATTGTCCGTAGTGTAAGAGTGTGTATGGATGTTTCCAAGTGATGGGTTGTGGCTGGAAGGGCATCCGCTGCGTAAAAACGTAGCGATTAACCAGATTAATAAAGGCACTTAGCCGAAAATGAACGGATGAATGAGTTATTAAAACTATTATGTTTAGAAATGTGTTGAAAAAATCTTCTCTCCGTTAATTAAAATAAAATAATATAATAAAATTGGGAAAAAAATAAACAGGAGGGCTAATAATTCTGACTTCAACTGTATATGAGTGCACAAAATTGTGTGCAGCTTTAGTATACGATTAATGCTTATTTTCCATATTCAATATAATATTTAAATGTATACTTAAATATCTTCTTAAATGTAAAACAACAAGACTCACCCGTGATAAACCAGTATTCTGTCCTTTACGAAGCTGAGGATGCTACTGAAATACTCCAGATATCTGATATTAATAATCTGCCCCCTGTGGAACAACAGACAAACCGTTAACATCCAATCACAGCAAGAGTTTTAGG